GCCAGCGTTCACTGATGTCACAATTAGTAGCTTGACATCAACTACGGTAGGAGTATTTATACCATGGAATTCGCAAATGCTACAAGCAGGAGCTTTGTATTTGCTGGTTGTGAAACATTTTGTCAGCACACCACTCATTGCATGCTAGGCTGACCAAAGTTCTGGACATCAACACAGCCTATTGGAATTTTCCCAATTTTGCTTCCTGTCCAGGGATTCCTTCTCCCCCAATTTTATAAACCCTGCAGAAACACAGAAGTGTCTGAGCATCTGGGGTGCATTTGGTTATTGTCAGCACTTGGCCTCTACTCTCAGAAATACTTTTATTTTGTAGCCACGAAAGTGATACAGGACAAAACCAAATAGGTAAATCATTTAGAGTTCTCTCCAGATAAGGCAGCTGGCTTCTTGCTTTGGAGACTGGAGAACAAGGAGTCCCCCATAGGAACAAGTTATCCCCTGCTGAAAGCATCCACTGGGGCATTCTTCAGGACATTTCCCACAGCTGGTCTGCTTTCTGCTTATACCAGTTACTGCTGGCTGGCAGGCAGGCCTGGATTTGCTGCTGCAGCATCTTACCATGGGCCTACTAGCCTTCTTTGCTTCCCCCTCCATCCTCAAAGTCTGATACAAATCAAAGAGCCAACAAAATTGAGGTCACTGGCAAAAAAGTTTGAAATTTTGAATGATTTTTATTAAACACCATTAGTCTACACTGCACAGTTAATGAAACAGCAAAGCTCCAATCTCAGAAGAATGATTGACCATGGATCTGAAAAGCAGTTCTGTGTCACCTAACCCAATGAGAGCACTATGAATGAATCTTTAACATTTCATGTCAGAAGCAGGAAGGGGCATGAACTGCAATCTGGCCTCTAGAGGCTTCCCCACCCTCCTCCCCCCACCCACATCCCCCCTCTGCCCTCCCCACAATGCAATTTTCTTGTCAGAAGATTACAGAGAAATGTGATGCTCTTGGTAAAGAGGGCTTCTAGATTTGTGAGGAGGAGAATGGAAAGGGAACTTATACTTTCTCTTTTGCTGGAAATATCAGAAGGTAGGATTAATGTTTGAGACCAGCCTATCTGATCAGTCTCCTGCCAGGGTAAATGCTGATTATCAATACACAGATGCCATTTTTGTTGTTGGAGTTTGCTAACACCAAAGAGAAAATGAATCAGTTTAATTATGAGAATAAGGCTGTGCGAGTGGAAATGAGAAACAACAACAGCAACAACGAGAATGACGACGACAAAGAATTTAGTCTGCCAGTTGTTAACACAACACTGACAACTGGCTCAATATTTTCCCCCACAGAATTGAATTTGGGGGCACTGAATCCACCCATTTGCTTGATATTGTGTAGCTATCTTATGTGGCCACACATTTTTTTCTCAATGGGCATAGTGATGCTGCTCTAAGCAAGCAGTTCATTGCTTTACTGAGTAGTCCTACCCAGTGATCCAGTTTGGTTCTCCCACCTGCTAACTCATGCAGGTGAATTTTATCATGTCTGTTGAGAACTATATGAGGGCTTCACCCTCACAACTCAATCGAGTCTGCCTTCAAAAATGCTTTTCAACTTCAAACTCCAACTTCAACCTCCAGGATGCAAAATTGGAACAAAACAAAATCTGATTTAGATAACTTCAGGAAAGATATAATAGAACAAGGATCTTTCCAATGCAGACCAAGTCCAAGATATTTTGAGATATAATGTCCAAATGACAATCCATCCATTTGGAAGCTCAACAAAACACATTTTAGCCAATGGTTTCTAATTTTGCAACTTTTGACTGAAGACTTGGATCTTTACATTTCATTACATGGAAAATGTATGCATCCCAACCTCATGTCTTTTAAAAGTAGCAATAGCTAATCTGCTTTTCCATTTATGTCATCTGAATATAAAACTACTAGTATTTTCCAAATGACATTATTAAGTAATTAACAGTCTATGGGCTGGCTAACAACATGCTTACAGCTAAATTCTACCCCAAGGACCATACTAGTAAACTCTTTTAAAATTAACCCTACCTACCAAACTCAGACAGTAATGTGGCAAAACCACGAAAAAGTCCAAAACTAAATAAAAACACAAAACCAAGCCAACACCATAACACAAACTTGTCAGACTCTCTGTGTTTGGAGCTTGAGTGACAAATGAAGGCATAGTGGTGGCCCTACCTGGATCATGTTGCAGGGCTGACATTAATCCTTATACTTACTCAGATGGAGCTGTCTGTTACTCTGTCCATTACCCTACCTCCACATGTTTATTTAGACGTGTCTCACAAAGCCTCCATCAAGATCTAGAGGCATGATCTCTCAGTGCCATTCACATGTCTCTTATTCCTCCCACAAACTGGTATATTGAAGAGATTCACTTGACAAAACATCTCAATCCCTCAATCTCTCAAATAGCTGCACACCTATGATGCACATCACCATTTATAATGTGATGAATAGAGTGCCTAGAAAACAGCAACAATCCTTAATCATGAAATGGAAGATGTCTCATCTCCAGGGATAGAAAAGTAATTCATCCTCCATGTTTAATTGGTTTCTAAACTGCATTAAAATGGGCCTACTAAATAATCAGGTGGTGATCCAGAGCTCGGCTGTCAGATTTGATAATTGCACTGCTGACTTGGCACACACTTTACACTCAGCCACCAGAGATGGCAGAGAATCCTCTTGCCTCCCTGTTGTATGTAAGTAGATATAACAAGTTGTTGAAACTAGAGCTATAGCTCTTTCATCCATGAGGCAATATATTTATTTCTCTGGGAAATTGCCCCTAGCCTTTTAATTTCTAGTTTCTAGAGATTGAATTTCAAGAAGAATATATTCCTAAATCTATAATGGTTTAGGATCGTAGTCTTGATTTGACTTACAAGTCAAGCCAGTGGGCTTCTTATAAAATAATAGCCAGGTACTCTACCTGGTAGGCCATGGAAAACAGAGCACTTGAGTCACTGCAAAGTCATCTGCTTAATTTTGTATGTGAAACCTGATTTGGGTGTTGAGAGTCTTTCATACTTTCATTTTCCTCATTTAAGAGGCTCAGAAAAGATTCAGGTTTCATTTGTGTGTGTGTGTGTGTGTGTGTGTGTGCATGTGTGCATATGTTTCTGTGTGCATAAGCATTGCTGTTGAGACTGTAAACATAAAGCTCAACCACAGAGGGAGCATAAAAAGTGCAGGGTTCAGCTGCTGGGATGCTCCCATCAGGCATATTAACAACATGTCATTAGTAATTGGAGTACAACTTCCACAACCTTATTACACAACAAAGGGTCTTAAACAAAAGATGACTAGAGCAGAGCTCAAGTCTGACTCTTTTGCAACTGGGGATGTATCTAACCTTGACAATGAGAATGAAGAACGATCACCTGCTGTTCCCATCACAGACCTGCATGACTTGCTTTAGAAATCATACAAGCTTGCATTTTTCATGTGCATATCTATTATTTATCTGGTTATATCAGTGAGCAGAATTCAACAACTCAATAGATTAAAGGCTACATGGAATTATATGCCAGCAGGTAGTTACAAGTAACTAATGCATGGATAGTATTTACTACAGTGGGGGAATCTTCTGGTGGGCTGGAACACCAGTGATGATATTTACACGGTAATGTTAAGGGACATAAGATGAATGTAGATCATAAGGAGGGGAGATACTCATAACTGAGAAGGAAATGCTCCAAAGTAGGTGAACTGGTCTCAGTCTTCAGGGCTCTTTCAAAGCAAAGCACTTCAGAATGAAGCATTATCCCAAGACTCATTTTTAAAAAGTTAGCTACCACTTACAGAGTTTAGAGTTTTCTTTGGAGTTTTCATGAAAATGATTCATACTAGCATAAACTTTAATAGAATCAGTGATTGTATTTCATTCAAAAGTCAAAAAAATAAAAGGAAAGGAAAAAGATAAAAGAAAAATGAAAGTAGAAAAAAGTAACCCCATGAAATTCTTAAGAAATATGGATAATAATTGGAGAAGTCCAGCTTTTGAATCCACTAGAAATCAACTTGTATATTATTACTTCCAGGGAGTGTATACCTTGACTTCTGTTTCTATAGATATGAACAAAATACAACTTAGAAGTTCTGCCAGTTATGGATCTGCCTACTGACCGCAAAGGAGGCAGAGGTGTAACTTCCTTATGGGACATTTTCCAGACTTGTCTTATCTTCCAGCTCTAAGACGAGGGTAGCATTTTGGCTACTAAAGAGTGTATCCATCAAACTGCTCCTCAAAAGGACAGCTTTGCACAAAGAGAATCTCAGGTGAGGATTTCAGTTTCAAATCATGAAGCTCAAAAATATTTGTGCCAGCTGATGCCTAACACTGTTGAAGTAAGTGTTGCTCCACCTTGTCATCATTAAAATCATTTTTAAAAATAAGGAATCAGAAATGGGATGCTAACAAAAAGTCTTCTGCTTGTGCGGCATAGCATAATTTCAAGAGCAACATTACTATGCCCTTTTCTCCCTTAATCCTCTTGATTTTATGATGTTGCTACAATATTGAACTAGTGGGTTTTGACAATGAAAATTCTCACCTGAAGATTTAGCCAGTGGGAACCACAAAAGTTTAACAATGAATTCGGACATACATTCTTTTCTGAACATAAGATTATAGTTTGGGGGATGGCTGTTGCTAAAAATGTTTGCAGGTCCCTTGCACGTAAATTCTCATATGGACGTAAGACCACTTGTTTAATTTCTCAGGAACCTGTCATCATTACATGTGCTTCCCATTCTTTGTTTTGGTAGTGTGGATTAAAAAAAATATGTAGGGACTATCATTCCATAAAGCACAAAAATATGGTGGGATCTGAGAAATGCATATCAAATACTGAAAAATAATGCAACATAACACTGCTCTCAAGTTGTAGTGTCCACTTAACAATGACTTCAGTTTTTCACAGATATCAAAAGAAGCATAAAAATAAACATAACCAAAGAGAACTTTCCCAAATGAGTGGAGTTCCACCAGTGACTGCCAGTGCACTGGTAGAGGTAGAGTGATGGGCCGTGAAGCTACAGATGGGAGAGTACCCACTACAACAAATGGGCATCGATGCGAAGCCAACACAGTCCCTGGCGAACGTAGCGGACGAGATTGGTCATGCTGCTGTGCTGGGTCAGGGGCCCCATCAACGTGTCCAGATCGCCAAAGAATTCTGAAAATTAGAACAGCTCTGTGTGAGGCCTTTAAATAATATCATGGAAATATACATTGGATTGATTGAGATGACACCATCACATAATATCACAATCATGTGGACACTGGAAAATTTTCCATTTGTTCTTCCATCCAATCATCCATCTATCCATCCATCCATTCATTCATCCATCCAACAAAACATCATAGAATATCTACTAGGAAATCAAAATTGCATATGTATATTAAGTGCTATTATGTTATTTACTGAGCTCCAAATAACTCATCAGCATGAATAATGTTTATGTTATTGTGATTAATAAAATTTATTTCAATCTGCTTAATTCCTCATAAGTGTTTTATACCAATATATATTTTCTCAGACAGCATATTCTAAAATTATACTTCTGTGGAAATTTAATATACACACAATCAGTATACGTTATATATACAAATATATAATCTACTTCTCTACATATATATCAATTTACATATATTTACATACTTAAATATACACATGAATTATACATAAATGTATTTATTTTATACCTTATTATAAATATATGTTTTTATATATTATAAATTAATATTTAGAAAAGGGTCCTTATACACAAAAGGGGTCTATTTGATGTCTGATATCAAACCATTTTACATTCTATGTGCTATTAAATTGAAAATATTTTTTCCATTTATCTAAATGAATTGAGTTTACTGAATTTTCTTGGCATGGTATTGACAAAGCCACTGAATCTGATCAGCAATGAGAGCCATCAGAGATAAATAAATGTCTTGGAGGAATGTCAATTAGTAAGTCTTATCAGTTTCTAGGGATGGAAAATAGTATCTTTTACTTAACAAATTTCCCCATCCCTCTGACAGGAAGAAGGCCTAGCTGATTCCCTCTGGGTGACTTGGAGAAGGAGGGCAACCCTGAGGCTCCACTACTAAGTGGTATGACTGGAGTTTTACAATGTCCTTGTTAGGGAAGGGTGTATGTGGGAAAGAGTATACGATGTTGAAGAACTAACTAGGTGCCCCTTTGTCATGCTTGAATTGACTTGTCTGACACCTGGTTAGGAGAGGGTTCTCTGGAATCCTCTTTGTCAGCTCTCCACAGAGGAAGCAGGCTCAGTCATAAGGGAATCATCTTATGCTGATTGATGGTAAGAAATCTGGATCTGAAGTGGGAGTAGAACTGGAGACTGTCCTAAAATGCTCTCTTGCCTTCTTGGAAAGCAATTTCCATGCATGGGTTACATGTGCTTGATTGCTCAGCAGATGGTATTTCATTAAACAATGCCTTTATTATTCACGTTATATATAACATATGGGCTCCTTCTCTAGGTATCAACTTCATTTGATTATGTGATACTTTTTAACCTGTACTATGCAATAAAAGCAATTTCTGCTGATAAATTAGTAAACCACTTTTTGGCATCTAAAATATTTTCTTAAGTAACACAATACTGAGGAAAATGTTAAAGGACCTAGTTTTTATTGAATGAATGTGAGCCTCATATGAGGCAAGACATCCCCTGGGCATTCTGTGCAAAGCTTCCTGTAGCACTAACTAGATACCCAGGTCATTGTTTTAATGAATACTTCAAGGGAGTAGTGTACTCAGCTGGGGTAAAAAAGGAGCAGGGCTTCTGAGGATAGTCAACAGGGGCCAGAGGACAGCATATACCCTTTTAGCCTATTTTGGCACCAGAACTTTCTGCAATAAGCTATCTGCAGCTACATGGGTGGAAAGGCAGGAGGCAGATGGGACCTTCTACTGAGAGAGCCAATCTAACCCATCTCCATGGTGCAATTGCCTGGAAAAAAGTGCAAGTGCACAGTTGTCTACAGTGGGGCACAGAGTTCCTATCCAAAGAGAAGCTCCTCAGTTCTCTCATTTCTTAAATCTACACTAGCCAGATGGGAGAAGAATCTCCAAATCTAAGCAGACCAGAAATAATATGTGTGGTAAACTCAAGGCTATGAGTAGAAAATTCCAAGCTAGGTCCTTTCCCTAATTTACTGAAAAGCCCAATGACAGTACAACCAGGGCTGTATTCTCTCTCTGCTGGTAGAATGATGAAGTTGTTTTGATTCAATATCAGGTGGAGAATTTAGCACCTCCTTGACAGGCTGTACTAATGACAAGATTAGCACCTTAACATTAGCACAACCATCACATCACTTCCAGAAAGTTCTCCAGTTAATTTAGAAGGAATTGCTTTAACAGATTTTGAAAATGGATGCAAAAAATAAATCCATAAATATCAAATGGCTATCTAGTTACCAATACAAAATATGACACAATGGAGCCAGACAAACTAGACAAATCTTAAAATGCCTATGTCTTTGCAATTCTAGAACCCTTGGATAGATCTGGTTGTCTGGATCAGTTGTCTCTGGGTTTGCAGAAAGCCTGAAAAGCAGAGAAGGTAAAAACTGCTCTTTGTTTAGATAATTGAGTTCAGGATCTCACCAAAGGTCTCTGAGGACCTATTATTAATCTTGCTTTCTAAATGGGCAGTGTAGTCTATTGATTAAGAGTTGAGATTCTGGAATCAGATACTTCCACATTCAATTCCTGCTTTTAGCAAACATTAAGAAGTCTTTTATCAAGGGTAAGTTTTTTAACTTCATAGAAACTCAGTTTCTTCATCTATAAAATGGGGGTAAATTAGATAATAAATAACAAAGTTAACAGTGCAGTACCTGTGATACAGAAATTGGTAACCAATATATGTACATATTCCTAGGAGTCAGTATAAGTATATATCTGGGCTCAGGGTCAGTGTTTCAAATTATGGAATGTGTTTTGATAGCCAAAGAATCTTTCAGTTATACAGACAGATAATATAGATCAAGGAAGGATAACAATTATTTATAGGATTTCTATCATGCACCTAATATTTTATACTAGGTGTTTTACATATTTCATTCATCTCTATTACCCTTTTGGGTAGTTTCACCACCATCATTATTATATTCATTATAAGGATGGAAACAAGGAAGTAATTCACACATTTAAGTAACTTGCAAAGGTTTCCCAGATAGCGCGTGACCTGGCAGAATCCAATCTTAAATTAGTACAAAATCTACATCCTTCCTACTCCACTGGGACTGTTTTCCCACATGCTTAGCAGTATAGTAGCAAGGACAAGGGTCTGAGAAGACTGTGAATCATTCTATAATTGGGCACTGAAGACAACCACCCCATTACTGGCCAAAAATTTCTACTATTCTAGCCAGCTTATGACTTCTTTGCAGTCTGATTCTGAAAGTCCACATTTGTCCCCACCTTGACTGCAGTAGGACAGTCTGTAACTGCTATGCCAGAATCAGTCCAATCAATCAATGGCCGGGGCAAAAGTGCGGTCTTGTTTTTGCTTCCTACCTTTAGCATCTAAATGACAGCTAAGGTCAAAGATGGCAGAGTGAGGCACTGATGATTATTGACCTACTTTCTGGTGAAGCAGGGTCCTCTTTGCATTTGTTCTGCAGCAAACCTCATATGTTCCTATGAACAGGACCATGATCCTTCATTCTAGCTGTCTGCTTCAAGCTTTGCTCCTTGCTTCCAAATGCAAGCTACATCATCATGTATTCAACCAGAGTTGATGATTATAATGAAAGTAGATGACCGCAGCTGCACCTTGGCTCTTAAAACAATAAAGTTAACAGAAGCCAACACGATCTTAAATAATTTGCAAATCATTCTTTTTGCCTTTGCCTCTGCTTCTTGGTGTTGACCCTTGTCACTGAGTGAAATTCCAAAACAGTCAGTTACCAATACATCACAATCTGGATTAGTTAAAAGGCTTTACGGGAGAACAAAATTTCAGGCCTTTTTCAGTCTCTCAGCAAAAATAGGTCACTGTGTCAGCCTTGAGCTAACTTCTTGTCATCTTGAAAGCAGAGAGACTGAAGGATATTAGGCCACTAAGGACAACTCAAATACTTCAAAGCACAGTCAACTCCATCCCAATCTGTGAGCAATGGGTAGAGCAGATGAGCATACCTTTGTTTTCTCTTGTCAGTTTGTCTGCCATATCCCAGTGTTCGTAGCCCCGCAACACATTGCTAGTGATGTTGACATGACTAGCAGCCATGTGGTGAATGCGTTGGGGGATGGTGACTGGGCCGTTGTTACAGTTTCCCATTGCATTGATGGGAGAGACATTGTTGAGGGACACTGGGGATGGAGTGTTCCTAGAAAATGGAAGGAGACAGGCCTTGTTAGAGTAGGAATGAGTGACAGCAGGGCTATAGGCCTCTCTCATCACACTGGAATGTCCTCAGAATACCATTGGCAGAGCAAAATTTAGTGTGGTAAACATATGTGAAGCCTCAGTGGAGTGCAGCTTGTTCCCACATCCCAGTGGCTCTTCTCAGAGTATAACCTATATAACTTTAGGCAACAAAATAGCTTTCTCCAGAGGCTCTGGTGTAGAAAGAGCTTATCACCACTGCAGACTTGCTTCAGCTGACTAACCTACCCCAGGATGCAGTGCTAGGCTGTGGAATGAGCATCCTTTCTCATTTTCTAACCTGAAACACGGAAGTCCTCACTGCCTCTGACGACCAGAGGGCGCACTGCTGTTTTCGTTTTAAAATACCAGAGAGAGCTGGGTGAATCTGTCTCTGACATTCATTCTACTTACAAATGTAGCCCTTACTTTGAATTTATATGACAACTGTTGCAATGTTTCAGAGAAAGGAGCAGCGCAGAGCTGTGATGATTTCTCTACTTGCTGCCAGAATGGCTACTGGCAGTTACAGAACACTTGATGTGCAATATTGGCCTACCATCAAAGTGTTTTGTGGAAGCTGCAATGACAGTTTGTTCCAAATACAGTTACCACTGTCTTAAAAGCCCCCCAAGGAGCTGTATTAAGAAAGGTGGAAAAAAGTAGAATTATGACTATCTCTTTAGGATTGTTTAAGACATGCTACAGAGATGGCTGTTAATTGGTGACTGTTCACTTGCATGCTGGTTTGTAAAGAGAAGTCTTTGGAGTTCCTACTTTGGGTAGTACCAGAGTTTGGTTTGATTTTCATTCAATTCTTGAATATCACTAACAAGATGTTACCTGCTGGCTGCACACAGCATGGAGGTAATTTTTCTTCCCGGGTCTGGGCTTAGGTTGGTCTGCTGTGAGGTTTTCTGGGACAGCCCTGAATATATGAGTGGATTCCTGTGCACAGGAGGAAGGGCTGTTTGCTCCACGGCTTGCCTATCCTCTTTCAGTCATACTTTAAACAACATTTTAGGCAAAGCCAGTTTATCAGGACAGAACATTTTGTGGGAGTAAAAGAAATGGGGAGCTGGGGGTGGTGATGTGTGCCTGTAATCCCAGCTACTTGGGAGGCTGAGGCAAAAAGATACTAGGAGGTAAGAGTTCGAGGCCAGCCTGGGTAATGCCATGAGACTTTGTCTGTAAAAAAAAAATAAAAAACTAAATTAATAAATAAGCAATAGAAATGAGGGAAAGCTCTGTTTGGGACTCTGAGAGTCTGTATGTTTGAAGGCATCTCCTCTACAACCTAGCATATCATCAAGGAGCCTGGTCTCATCTCCCACCCCAACCCCTTACCAGTTGCTGATGTTGGCAACTCTTTATTTGCAGGGTGGCTGTGTTTCTTAGAGTCTACACCTGCTCACAGAATGGATGAACACTCTGTCAGGCAGCACATGCATTTGATTTGGGGGAATAGAAATCAAACGTGCTGAAATGCTGAAGTGCTACTGACTAGCTCTGGGAGCAGTAGGAGCAATTTTGGCTGAAATTCTCTCCTCCAGACTCACATAGACTGTGCCCATAGCCACATGTGACATTTATAGTATTCCTGCCAATAGGGTATATCTTCTGGTATGTTCTGGTCACATTTGCTCTGTTATTTTGTGGTTTAAGAGCATGTGAGTTTTCCTCATATGCTTATGATTTTTGGGATAGTTTCTTGCTTCTTGACAGAACAATTTATTCTCAAGGCAGGAGTGGGTTGGGAAGATGTCCAAGCTAAAGGTATGTAGCACACAAAGGTTAGCTAATGACAAAAAAGCAGTAGGAGCTGTATTTCTTTGCTGTAATAGGTTGAAAGTGCTATTTTCTAGTACTTTTTCCCTAGTGATGGTCATTAAGTCTTAAATGTCAATTTATGATAAAAAGGAATATGTTCTCATTTGTAATCTCCAGAGAAAATGACAAAGCTGTTAGGTGACACAAATGTTAGAAACGGGACTGTGTGGTGCTGGAACCCCAAGAGACTTGGATTCCAATCCCAAACCCTGCCACAAAATTGCTATGTGTCTGTGTGTATGTCCCTTTCCCTTTTTGAGCCTTGCTTTCCTATATGGAAATAAAAGATTGAATTCAATGCTTTCCAATCATGTCTGTAACAGACAAGGAAAAAACAACCCTGTTTCATTACCTCATACATCTTGAAAAGCCCATTTTTCTCTCAGATATGGAAGCTAAAAAAATTTTCTTTCATAGAAAGTGAGAATAGAATCTTGGCCACTATAGGCTAGGAAAGGGTTAGAGGGAGAGGGATAGATGGAAGTTGGATAGCATACATAAAATGTAAATAGATAGAAAGTACCAATTCTAGTGTTCTATAGCATACACTATAGCACACTTCATAATAACCTATTATTTATTTTATAAAGACTTAGAAGAGTTTGAAGTTTTCCAGCAGAAAGAAGTTATGTATGTTTAAGGAACTGAAATGCTTATTACTGATTTGACCATTACGCATTGTATGCATGTATCGAATTATCACACTGTACCTCACAAATATGTCCAATTAGTACATGCCAATTTACAAAAGTGCTTTTCATTTATTACACTGAAATGTCATTGAGAGGCTTTCTTTTCATTTCAGTCCTTACTTTCTTTCTTTAATTAGTCAATAATGGAGGCAAGAAGAGCAAGGTTAGGGAATCTGTTGTGGCCCGTTACTGTTCTTATACTAAGATCTATGATCTGATGCTCAAATGAGCAAGTCTACATACCACATTGTACTAATGAAATGAAAAAATTAAATGTGCCTAAGAAATCATGACTGTGGGAAAGATAGAGGGTTGATGCAGACCTCATACATCTTTGTGTTCTCTCCAATCCAACCTGGCCCTCACCAGTACTCTTTCTGTGTGTCTATTCACAGGTCTTGTTCTTTGCTCCATACTTCCAATGCATATGCCAATGAGTATGCACACATGATCATATGCTTCCTATAATTTCCACCCCTACCATCTTGGTCCAACCCACCATCCTTCTCAATTCACTTACCTCATAGCCACCCTTGGCCCCTTGTTCTTCCTTGAACTCATGTGGCATATCTCCCACTTCTTTCCGCTTGGAATTCATATCCCCCAGATACTTGCATGGTTTGCTCCACTGTCATACTTCTCTAACAGGCTTATTGAAGGCTCTATCATTGCCTCTTTTCCTCTCCCCAGAAGCCTATCTGTCCTCTTTCTTTTTTTCAATTTCCTCCATGACACTAACCATCATCTAGCATATCATGTATTTTTAATTTCCTTTTCCCCAACAGAACATAACCCCAATGGAGGCAGGAATTTTTGTCTATTCTGTCCTGTGTTGTACTGTAGCAGCTAGAACAGTGACAGGTACATAATATGTACTCAGTGAACAAATGGATGACTTGCCTCTATTCCTTATTTAGTATCCAGTATATATGAAGTGCTCATTAAGGTTGAAGGAGAACAACCTATATAACACGAGGATGAAGATTTGTTTGTAAAGGGCCTGGCAGTGTATCTCATACATAGTAGACACTCTGTAAATATTTGGTGAATGAAAGGATGAATGCCCTCTCAGCTTAAAAGAACACAGTTTAACAGAGGAGCAAAATCCATTTTAGGGTATGTGCAAATAGAGAAGTATACACCAGGAGCTGTAGGAGCTCTGGGCACAAGAAAGCTTATTGCTTTCCAGCTTTAAAAGGTAACCATGTCAACAGTAACTGTGGCAGCAGCTATACCACAACTTGTTGGCCAGCCACTGTGTACCAAGCAAGCTCTCAGGCCTTCATCAACATTATGTCTAAGCCTCCTGATAACTCTGCAAGGAAATCCCTACTGCCACTGTTTCACAGACAACAATATGGCCTCAGAGAAGCAGCTCAGTTCCTTTAAAAAGGCCACACAGAAAATTCCACAAAGAGCCAGGGTTTGACAGAGATCTGTTTCTCTTCAATCCCCTTTTCCTTCCATTCTACCCTGCAACTTTGAAGTCTTCCTAATCACTCAAAGATCTCAACTGACTTGTGTCCAGTCCACTTTCATCCTCATCTTTGTGTCCACATTGGTTTATTTCTAGTTCTCTCCCCAAGTTCAAAGGTATGTCATCTATGTTCATACCAGCACAGTACTCATAAGTTACTTGATCTGGATGGTCCCTCTGATGACCACTAGACTCTTGCATTCATTGGACTGGCCGGTGTCTCAAACAAGTGGAGATATCTCCTCTTCTAACTGCTTCAACAGTGCACCCACATTTACCTGTGTACTGAAACAGCTTTTCTGAAGTCCTCCAATGGCCTCCTTCTCTCAAAATGCAGTTGCCTTCTTAGCCCTATTTATTTTTGTTATCTCTCTATGATACTTGGTATTGCTGTACAGTCCTTTTAAACTGTCCACAACATGGCTTTCAGAACTGTATGACAGATCTACAAATTTGCCCCACTTCTTGTTCTTGTATGGCCTATGAGCTATTGATGGTTGGAAAAGATGAACATGTGCAATAGATTTGATGAGAAAGAGCACTAAATTTGAACTCTAATTAAACAAATTAAAAATATTATTTCAATAAAGAATTCCCTTTACTGTGCATTAGTAAACTTATTTTTCAAAAATAAGTAAAAATACTTATCTATTTTATATTTAGAATTTCATCAGTAAAATATTGTGGAATTTTTGTCTCTCAATTTAAATATATATATATATATATATATATATATATATATATATACATATATATATATATATAAATCTTGGTTGTGCCTTTGGGACCACAAAGCACAAATTATGTAGCATGTAGCCATTTATAGAAAGTTTGCTGACCCCTGCCCTATACCAAGATTTTTCTTCTCCTTCTTCCCACTGCTTTTTTTGGACTTTCTTCCCCTAGGCCCAGTGGAAACTAGTTCCTGAGGGTCTATTCTCAACTCTTTGTTTATCTCTCCATATATTCCCCCGTGGAGCCCTCATTCATGAATAAGGTAGTCAGACCCATTTTTGGGTAATTGATATCCCAATCACCAGCCAGTTAAGGAGGGTTTGAAGTCAAGGGATGCTGCCCCTATAAGGTGCTGTTGGAGGTCCTTGTTGGGGCCCATCATCCTATTTCACTGGGAAGCCAGGCCATGGTCTTGCTTAGAGACAACAAGCCCTCTGGCAATACAGGAAGGCCCAAACTTCCTCCAGTGCTTCCAAAGCACTTTTGTTTATATCTGTCATCTTCTTCCACTGAACTGTATTTTTCTATGGTGCATGAACCACATGTAATTCATCTCTGAGTCCCTATCCCCTCATACAGGGCCAGGAGCAGATGTGCCTGAAGCATTTGCTAAATGAACAGGATGTAACCCCTGGGTGACATTTGGAGTTGCCTGATTCAAAAGCTGAACAGCCTACCAAAGGGAGTGTTCTTTCTTCAGACAGAAGCTGCTTGGAAATAATTTTATGGGGCTTTTAATGTAACTTCAGAAGCTTAGGATGTGTTTGAGTTCTTTCGTTTCAGAATTAAAAAAATTTTTCCCAGTGATCCTTTAATAGCTGCTTACCTGACCTTGCCCTTAGTTCATTCTGTGTTCAGACAGAATGAGCCTTTCTCCGGGCTTTTCAATGGTTATATTTATTTTCTGGACTTCCAGAGAGAAGCGTTTTTTCCTTTTGTTCATCAATATAAGAGTAAGACCTAATTCAACAATTTAAACAGTGCTTCCTTTCAATACAGTAATTGAGTTAATGTATAGTTTTTAATGGATCTGTTCCCTCATGCTGAATGTTTTTATGATCTCAAAGTAGAGTTCACTGTCTCACTGCATTTGGAGTATGCTTTGTAGATATTTATAAAGTGGCAGTGGAAACTATTTTACTCTTGAAGAAAGTGTTTTGATCAGAGATGCAAGAATTTTGAGCTGATGAAAATTTGAAAAAGCAGCCTGGAGTCATAAAACAGGCTCTTTGTGAACTTATATTGTCTATAAACATGTAATTTCTCTTCTCACTACTGGTGGGAAATGGGCTTGGAGGTTTTGGTATCAGAGGTGATATGAATGTTCAGGCAAGTTAGCCAAGGCATGGCAAGTTTGTGATGGAGACACTAATGGGATCCAAAATTGCCCTCTGTAGCAACATTTCTTCAGTGGGTCTCAGAAGGCATCTTTATTTTTATTATTTTAGCAAGGGTTTATTTTTGCAAAACAGGATAAAGTAGAGAGAAATGGGGGGGGGTGTGAGAGAGAAGAAGAAACATTTCCTGTTCCCCATGCAGGAAATGGGAGCAAAGACTCAAGCCCCTTCATTTTAGAGGTAGTAAAACAAACCTGGAGAAAAAGAGCCCACTTATCTTATCCTGTGGGCTAAGGGCAACCTCAGGTCCAGATTAATGATTTCCTCCTGGTCCACTGCAGTGTTGTGAAGCCTAGTCAAGGCCCCCAGCAGTCTGTGGGCCTGGGTGAGTTCACAGAGTCTTGGATTGGCATACATGCTTTTATTTTTTAGGTCAGGGTATTTTAGTATTAATATAAAAATCACCATGAAGGCTCAGATAATTGACTGACTAAGTGTATTCAAATTTTCACCTCTATTATGCCTTTGGTTTTATTAAACATCACTTACCATACATATATCAATGAATATTTCATTGGCCTTTCATTACTGAGTGAATCATTGACAAATCACTGCAGTGGAATTAACTTTACCCTGCCTCCCTGAAATGACATGGTGCTTGCCATCTCATTAGCAGATATTTTTATGGCCATAATTTGGTTTAAAGATCAAATAGTGAAAGAATGTGGAGCCACATCTGTTTAAATTTTTCTATCTTGCCATCAGCTGAAACCTGCCTAGAATTCTGTGTGCACAGAAATGACTATAGTTTTGGATTTGATCTTCACTCCCAAATTGTCAATGTAAAATATCTGTGGCCTATTCAATCACTCATTTTTATGAAAAAACAATTTTTATAAAATACTTACTTTCCATTGCCTACCCATGGAGATGGTATCTGAGCGACTTTTGAAGCATTTTGCTAAAAGAAAGAGAGAGAGGGAAATAAGGACATCTATTTTGTGTTTTATTAATTCAGAAACAGATGGAAGTGTGATTTAGAGTACATTAATATTGATTGCGGCATTTTGGGATGTAGAGCTGGGATGTATGTGCACGTCAGCACACCACGACGCACACTCGATGAAAATAGCTGGTTAGGATAATTAGTGGGCTCCAATCAGGACCATGAAAGTCACTTGATGAAAGATCTTATATACTAAAAGGCCCAGTGAAATCAGACTCGGTTCTCCAAGAAGTGGTTTAATTATGCTCATCTGAAATTTATTCTGCAAAACAAGCTCTTCAAAGTACAAGTAAGCTTTTCACCTTTAGCTCCAGTTTGTTGCAAACTTTTCCCCTGGGATACAGGTAAAGCTGTAATTTCTAATATCCCAGGAATTTGTCAGACCAAGGAATGTTTTTTATTTTTTTTTGCCTGTGTGTTTGTTTGTTTTCAGTAATCATCTTGATTTGCTATCTTTACATGCAACTTTCATGGCAAATGATCTTCCCTGTTTAGCAATGCATCTGGTCCAGGGCTGAACCACAATGGAAGATGGAATGCTAAACATCCTTTCATTCCTCTGATGGAACTGGGCTAGTTTAAAGAATTGGCTTCCTGTATTTTCATGGCCACACCCCTGTGAATCATAGAGAAAGCTGACATTCAGCATTACCAGTAAAGGACACGGATCAGGTTCAGCCTTGCCAGGCTGGAGTTCAAGCAGCACAGATGGTCAGGACACCTGTGGCATTGAGCCTGAGTCAGGTTTTTTTGGCAGTTATGGCCCAGCTGATGCTCTTTTACTTCCTTTTGGCCTCCAGTCTGGCCCCCTTTGCGAAAGGGATGTTAGAGGGAGACTCAGCACTTTCATGGGGACCAATAAGAATGCAATGCTTTTCTGGAGTCATGGAAACCCAGACCTAATGTGCATTCTGCAGACTCAATTTTTAACCTTTAAGAAACTCAACACACTCACAGATGAATGAGTTATTTAGCATCCGTGTGGTATTGTCCTGAAAGCTACCCAGTACATGCCACTGGTCACAGATACTCGATGCAAAACAAGCAACTTCAGTATCACATGGGATCTTGTTAGAAACGGACATTCTCAGGCTCTGCCTAGATCACATACTGTGGAGATGGGACACAGCCTTTTGGTTTCACAGGTCTTCTAAGAGATTCTGATGCCCAGTGAAGTGCAAGAAGCATCTTTCTACAGCATAGATTGAGAGGGTAGATATATGAAAGGATTGGGAGTGCTATTGCATGTGACTCCCTTTCATACCATATCAGTACAAGCTTTATGGCATCATGCCCATACCACATAACAGCTGGAGATATTGCTCTTTTTTCCAGCTGGGTCACAGTGTTGTTATACAGTTGTGCATTACTACCATCTGGATATTTGATATAAGGTCATAAGTTGATTCATTTCAAACAACTGTTTTGGCACAACTTAGCCAAGAAGTCTTATGCATTATCTTTTGTGATAAGGCCAACAGAAGGGAACAGTGTAACCTCCCAACTCTAAATTATGGCTAGTGCTGGCATGAAGAAGCAGGATTGGAAAGTAGTGGCCAAGCCTAGCTACAGGCTCCTGCTTGCAATTTTTATCTGGGCTCATTCCCAAATATTGGCATTTCAGATGAGATCAGGGTGGTATGGCTGTGGACAATATTGGCATGTCATTGTGTCTTTTTATTTTTATTTTTGCTTATCAATTAAAAATGCCAGCTTTCTATATGATGGCTTTATTTTTCTGTCTATTTGTTTGTTTTGGCAACTGAGGCAATTGATTGTCTGAAATTATAGCTGCTGAACTCTGAGACTCTCCACAGCCAAAAGACTTTTAGGGATGTAAATGTCTACTTTGAGTCACAGCGGCCACAGTGACTTCTCTCATTGCTGAAGAATTCCTGAGCCACCTCTTATTTAACAAGAGATTAGTCAATACCTACAGCCACAAGTTGCGCCCACCTTATAGGCAGGGAGAAGGAAACACCCCTCTGACTACAGAAGCTGCCAAAGACATATGGTTAGTCCACTAAATGGTCAGGAATTGCACTACTGTACCTTTTCACCTTGGAATCAAGTCAGATGCAAGCTCTCTGCTGAGCCCCAAAGAAGGAATGGAAGGGCCATGGCTAGTAAGGATGAGAGATGTTATGCCTTTGGCAACAACAATGTTATCATGGTCTTTTGACATTTGATAACATGCCTGCCATATTTCATTAGGGACTTTATCATGCTGTACCTATAAATTATACAAAATAATGATTACCTTAAAGTATTCCATCAGTGATCTGGAATACTTCATAGCATGGTCCTTCTTCAGTTTAAACATTCTCAAGTACAGAAGTGATAAACACCGGTAGCTGTGGTGATGAGGAGAGGATTATGTTAACGTAGTACCTAATGAGACCCATAAGCAATAAAAATACTAATTCATATTTTGCAGTTACTTGCCTATGTTTAGATTGAGTAACATAAGTAAATAAAGAAAAATTCTAAAAAGGAAGAGGAAGTATTAAAATACTCATTTTGATTAGGAGAGTAAGTGTTCAGTCAGTGACTGAAAAAAATCCATTAGTTAACCTTTATCAGTTCAATGGAAAACAAGAATAATGATCTGGCATAAGCAGTTTAAATTGATCTGGAGTTTTCACATCCTTCTGTGGGATTTTAGCTGTTTCCTTGTAGCCTCCATGTACTCACCATAATACTGCTAGCTTTTTGTCTCCATCTGAAGCCAAGGGACTTGCAAAGTTCTTCAGCCTCATTGCATACCTTTGAAGAGAAAAGAAAAACTCAAGTGGAATCTGGGTTAACCTTCACGAATTCCCAAAGTAGATGCTGTTCTGATGGTGTGAGTGAGTTAGTCCCACTTTTGCTTAAAGCAGGAAGACTGACTGGTGCTTTCGTGAAAACATGTACAAGTGATGATCAACACAGCATAACAGGACTGATGGAACATCTAGAATTGAGCTCTGAAGAAGCCAGCTGAATCATGAGCTCATTTCCTAGAACAATGTGTTGGGGAATTTATGTGAGTGTGTGTGTGAATCTGTGTGTGTGTGCGCAAATGCAGGCAAAATGTAGTTTCTAAGAACACTCTAGCTGAGCAACATTAGTTTTCAATGAGAGGTGGACAAAAATGTCAGCCTTAGTTCATTTTATGATAGATGAGATTTAATAATAATAATAATAATAATAATAAAATAATACAGCTGGCCTGGCAGTGGGAGACCTCAATCACCAAGTTAGGAGATCTTTTCTAATGGCTCAGGTTTTGAATATATTCTTATAGAAAGTGGTTGTGTTATTTTTTGTTTGTGTTCTTTGAAGAAAGATTGATTTCACAGCATTTGAAGGTCTAAACATCCTTAATTTATGGTTCTTGTATATTTTGTCTTTCCATTCTCTTTAATTGTTACTGTTCCATACTGGGGTGATAAAAGTTTGAATAGTTCCCATTTTTTTTCCATTCTAGGTGAGTACATTCCATTCTGGGCATTTAGACTCTTGAAAATCAATTCATTGCATAAAATTCTTGTCTGAGCTTTAATGCATCTTCACAGGTACTTGTGATAGAATAAGTAATGGAGTTCATTGTGGCAGAAGACAGTTTGAAGAGCTGAAGAGCATATACAGGCAGCCTGGGCCAGTTCTCATTTACAAGAAAGCAATGGGAGAGTCTGCACTGCTGCTGTGCTTGCCTGCCAAATACCTTTCTTCTTTCCTTCCTTCCTTCCCTTCCCTTCCCCTCCCCTCCCCTCTCCTCCCCTCCCTTCCCCTTCCTTCCTTCCTTCCTTCCTTCCTTCCTTCCTTCCTTCCTTCCTTCCTTCCTTCCTTCCTTCCTTCCTTCCTTCCTTCCTTCCTTCTCTCTCTCTCTCTCTGTCTTTTGTGGTACTGGAATCTGAACTCAGAGCCTTGCACTTGCTAGGCAAACTCTCAGCCACTTGAGCCTTCTTTGCTTTAGGTTATGCTTTAGACAGGGTTTCACTTTTTCCCTGGGATGGCGTGGGACCACTGTCCTCCTACCTATGCCTCCCTTGCAGCTGGGATTAAGGAATGAAGCTTATTTGTTGAGATGGGGGTCTCATGAACTTTTTGCCCAGGCTGACCTCAAACTGTGATCCTCCCCATCTCTACCTCCTGAGTAGTTGAGATAACAGGTATGCACCACTGCACCTGGCCTTCAAGGCTTCATTTTCAATAGCTTCCTCAGAGCACAGAGGACATCAGGCTTACCCTCCTACCAGAGACTTGGGGCCTCCTTAGCATTCTATCCACCCTGCTCTCTCAGTTACTGCTCCAGTTTTGTTGAGTGAATGTTTTCCAATGAAGGGATTTGCAGACTTGATGTGGGTGTTTTCTATTGTTGCAATATTAAGCAAAAGGATTTTTATTATATAATCTAACTTTCTTTTCCATTGCAACCCTGAAATGTCAACCTCTTGTGATGTCCCTTGTTTTCACAGATACATTTCTATTACATATTCTCAAGGCTCAGGGCAACTATAATTACTTGAATGAAGAAAATAGTGCTCACCCTCTGTAGCTGGCATACTGTCAGAGAGGGGGAAATAAAAATCTCTTCAACATAACATTGCACTACTAACACTATGTTCATATAATACTTACCCTCTAACTGCAACCACATTTGAAGTGGCTTGATGGTAGTGTTTCAATTGTTTAAATGGACCAGAAGAACTGATTTTCTTTAATTCATTTTATTCCCAACTGAAATTACTCTCATTGAAAAATCACACAAACATGCAGTTTACAGAAAATATAAAATATAAAAATACACAGAAGACACACAAACAAATACACGTAAAGCTGTTAACATTTGGAAAAAAAACTGGTGACATCTGAATGAAGTCCATGGATTATGTCAATGTCAATGTCTTGGCTGTGTTACTACACCATAGTTATGCAGGATGTTATCATTGTGGGAAATTGGGTGAAGGTGGTACACAGGAACTTTCTGTATTAGTGCCTACAACTGCACATGAATCTACAATTACTTCAAAATAAAGTTTAAAAATATCAACTTTAAAGTGAATGGCAACAAATTATCTATTGACTTTTATCAGGATCTATTGAACTATATGTCCGTGAGGAGTAAAATACCATATAATGAAAAACAAATCATGCTTATAATAAAAGAACTATTTTGTAAATAATTAAGGAAAAGAAATATTTTCTACGGAAATAAATATTACTTAATAATTCACTTTACACTTTCACTACAAAATGAAAATTGGTATTTTGCTCTTATTTTTTAAGATGACATGTGCTTTCCTTAGTAAATTTAATTAAGAGACTGGGGGCATGGCTCAAGTGGTAGAGCACCTGCCTAGCAAGCCTGAGGCCCTGAGTTCAAATGCCAGTACTCTCCAAAAAATCAAGAAAAAACTTAATAAGAAAAAATATACACAGAGAGGGAAAACACCCATAATCTTCCCCCATTACAGCTGTGATCTCAGTTTCTTTCCAATTTGATCCAGATGCATATACTTTAACATACTCATAACTGTAGTGTGCATATAATTCTGCAACTTGATTTTACTTTTTATTTTACAGTGCTTGGATCAAGCCCAGGGTCTCCCACATGCTAGACAAGTGTCTACCACTGAGCTATACCCTATGCCTTGATTTTACTTTAACATCATCTTATAAACATTTTAATGTAGCTGGTTTAGTCTTCATCATTATTGTATTTCAGTTGCAAAGTATTGTCGAGTATTCTATGATGTGATTGATTCATCTATCATTGGTTATTTGGTTTGCTTCTAATTGTGTGCCATTCTATGCAATGCCAAACTGAACACCATGCAGATAACTAATGCTTTACTATTGCAATTCTTTTCTTCAATAGAGGAAATTCAAACATGCAGAAGTTGAAGTACTAGGTCCCACATAACTAGCTTGTTATGTGGCTTTTATTACACAATGCCAAATTGCCCTCAATTTCCAATGATCAATTTCTATTCCTGTCAGCAGTGTAGGAGGAGCCTAGTTTACTACCATTTTTCTTTTTGCTAATGTGACATATTAACATCGTTACATTTTCTTGTTAATGTAACATATGCCTTATTTATTTTGCATTTTTAATGAGTGGAGAAAATGAATTTTTTCCATATTTGTTCACTGTTTCCCCTCAATTTTTAATCACTATAATTTTTGTCAGCATGCTCATCTTATGCAATTTTGAAAATTGCATTTATCCTTGAGTAGACACTAGGAAATCAACTTCCCCTTGAAAGCTACAAAATGGTGGTAGTGGTGGCAGCTTCCACCTTGCAGCAAGTAAGCGGAAAAGAAATACTTTCCACTATTCTCTATGTCTCCAAGCAGCATCAAGAAAGACGACTGGCTCAAACAATGTATACACATGTGAATAAATGAATAAAAAATTAAAAAAAATAAAGTGAACAAAAATTTTTAAAAAGAGAGAGAAGATAACCACCTGACCAGGCAGGCAAGGATGAGGCTCTAATTAAACTTCAGATTTTTGAAATGGTTTTCTTCCTTATATTTTTGGAGTACTTTCTTGGGAAAATGTGCATGGTTAATCTTCCTAAAGTCTGTCTGAAGTCTTAGGTACAAATACACTCAGATTTCTAACAGTTTATGCAGATACAGACATGGTAATAAAAAACAAAATAATTAATTAATTATTAATTAATTGAGATAGATGGGACAGGACATAGGGCCTATTGAGTAAAGAACTCACTTAATCAAAAGTGGTTGTTTAGGGTTTGGAGATATATCTGAGTGGTAGAGCACTTGGTTGGCAAGCACAAGGCCCTGGGTTTGATTCCTAGTGCCAAAATAAGTGATTATTTAGTCCATCCAGTGAACAATGGTGTTTCTCGCTATTCCAGGATGGATTAAATTCTTTTATTAATATTTTCAAATCACTGAAAAACATCAGAGTGGAGATTTCTTCTTCTCCTACTCCATCTTTCTCTTCTTTTAGGATTTTTTTTTAATTTCCCACAAATTCTACTACACAAAGACCAATAGACTAGAAAAATTCATTTAAAACATAAATAAAACCAGTAACATGTACAGTTAATATACCCTCTTCTATTCTCATTCTCTCTTCTTTACCCCACTCCCCACCACCACCCTGTTAATTTTCTTATTCCAGATACATGGAAATTCTACTACATACCTGCAGCCTTAAACGACAACTTTAAGTTGGAATGATGTCCCTTCCCTTCCTAATAACTAAGATAGAAATTCTTAGGAAACATGGCTTGTAATAGAACTACTGAGAGCACCACTTTGTTTTGAATAATAAAACTACCTTTGAAAATACAAGTTAATATCAAATAGCAAAATAATTATATTTTACTTAACCTGCTACATTTCCATTTTAATTTTATGAATATTGCAAATTATAAGACTTACATTATAACCTCTGAAGGGATAATTTATAAAACAGTGTCCATGAATTGTAAATTTTCCAAGGCATTAATAAAATGGCAAGAACTAATTATGATGACTTCTAAGAAGATGTCTCAGACACAACATTAATATGAGGAAATGACATTTAAAAAAACATAGCAGCTTTTAATTCTGGCTGCAGTGAGCTTAGAGAGATGACTGTAGAAGGACCATTCACCTGAGGAGCTCCACAGTCTCGGAATACATGGTGTACGGGGACTTTGCTTCCAGGGGGTCACGTTCCATGGCATTGCCACATTCGGTGAAGGAGAGGGCGGCATCGGCATAATTCACAGCTTTGCCAAATTTCTCAAACTGAAACAGGAAGATGACTTGTCAGCATGATGCTCTCTTTTCTCCTTTATATGAATGCATGGCTCAAAACTGAGGGTAATTTGGTCCCTACCCCAGGGAATATTTGTCAAAATGTCTGGAGATACTTTAGATTGTCACCACTGGGGAGAGGGGGCACCCACTAGGAAGAGGCCAGAGAAACTGGTAAGAATTCTGCAATGCACAGAACAGCCCTTGCCATAGAGAATTAGTTGGTCCAGATGCCAAAGGTGCCCTGGCTAAGAAGCCCTGATATGGAGAGAGGACCATTCATGCATTGGTACCAATGATAAAGGAGCTGATTTAAGATTCTATTGTCATGACACAGAGGCTGACCAGAAGAGGAAAATGCAGCAGAGGAACCACATTTGAGTTTTTAGCATTGCTGTTGCTATTATCACCCTCTTCTTGGTAATCCAGATTCCAAATCAGAGCCTTGACTAGTTTCTAATCACTTAATTTACTAAACTGACAAGTCATTGAAATGTTCTTCCCACAGTGCTTGCAACTAAGCTCTTTTTTTGATAAGGCTCGTGAACAACAAATATACCCAGTCCTTCCTTTAGAACTCTTCATGAGCACACAAACCCTATCCCCAGGTGGAGAGTAACAGATGGATGCTAGTGTCATGAAAAATGTGAAGCTGGAGTATGACTATTGACAATAACCACATCACTTTCATGTAAATGATGGGTTGAAATAGTGTGTCAAAAAGCCAAAAAATATAGCACTACTAAATATTTTACTTTAGTAAAATTTTATTGCAAAAGGTTTTAGCCTTGATAATGGTCATGATTAAACTGACTTAGACATACTGATTTCTTTTTTATGTGTAATGAATATTATATATGACACTTTTATAGTGAGTATTTTACAACAGGATTTAACATTTTCAGTTTTTGATAGCTGGATGTAAGAATTCCACTAATGGTATTTTATGTGAAAAACCAATATAAAGTAGATTTAGCTATTTTAATTGTCTTGTATACCTTTTATAAAAATATTTTGTATGCATTTGTTAAATTTTCAATTCTTAAAATGGCAGAATAACTGTCTTTAGAAAAGGATTAAGTACAACTATAAAATGATTAGTTACAGTTTCCACAAAATCTCTTATTTTAAATGGCTCTCTTTCCAATAAGTGTTCTTCAGCTTTTATATACTGAAGGAATTCTGTAGTTTCCTTCTGGTAAGCTATTGTGGAGAAATATTGTTCTCAACCAAATTCATCATGATTTTATGAATATCTATGTATGTGGATGCAAACTAGTTCCTTTCTCTCTTGTCTTGCAAGATAATTTCCTTAGCTCTCCAGGCTCCAACTGGCTCTCAGCTTTGGAAAAAGTAAGTTTTCATTCACTCTTGGTTTTTGCCTGACCTCTTAGCTAGAGGGTTCCTTAGGAATCATCTAATCTCAACCTCTCTTTATCCAAAAGGAGGAGAATCAGAATTCCACAGGGAAAATTCATAGCCATAGTGCCAATAAATGGCTAAATCACACCGTGTTTCTGGACCTTAGCTTTCCCATCCAAAAATTAAAGTGTTTGAACTATAAAGATGCTTCAAACATGAATATAGGTATAAGCTGAGGAAAAAATATTCCTCTTACTATCTTTTTTCCTATTATCATCAGCCCCAAAATAGATTTTAAGGGTATTTTTCATATAGTCCCAATGAAATTTAATACCAAAAATATGCTGATAATTTCTCTCTCTCCATCTCTTTCCCTTCCTCCCTCTCTCTTTCAGTACTAGGGTTGGAACTCATGGCTTCACTTGCTAGGCAGGGACTCTACAGCTTGAGGCATGCCTCCAGCCCCTTTTTTCTCTGTCTGTTTTGTATATAAAGCCTCACTTTTTGCCCAAGTCAGCCTGGACCATCATCCTCCTATTTGAGGCTCCCCGTTAGAGTTGGGATGACAGGTGCGTGCCACCATGCTCAGAATTTTCCCTTGAAATAGGGTCTCACTTTTTTTCAGCCAGGGTGGTCTGGAACCATGATCTTCATGGTTTCAGCCTCCCAAGTAGCTAGGATTACAGTCATGAGCCACTATCACCTGGCTCTCTGATTATCTCTTTATGTACTGTGACTCTTTGAAGGGACACAGATCATTGTAATATTTGGGATTTTTCCATCCTATCCCAAGAACCAATTTTTCCCCCATGTGGATAGTATCTTCACAATTGAGAGTGATATTAATTCTTAATCATATCCATGCATCTTTGTGGCTCTGACTTTTCTCAGTTCTTCAAACGTTTCACCTACATGGTCTCATATACACATCATTGACTTCATCTGCTCATATAACAGCTCCTGTGCCCCACTTTTTTCACCGAGAGTGCTCCATAGCACTTCTGAAGTACTAGGGAACTCAGAACATTTGGAGAAATTTGGCATTTCAGTCAGCAACTTCCACCTAGTGCCTTTCAATTCTCTTGAAACCCACTCAGTGGTCACAGGCACCATATGCTTGGTGTCACCAGTGGAGCTGGACCCCAGCCTGCCTTGTCATTTTTGTCTGTAGGAGCAACAGAAAATTGTTTCCAGAGGACATAAAAGCTAGCTACAGACAATAGCTAAGCAATTTGGACCACAGGGGGAAATGACAGAAAGTAGAGAAGTGGAAGATATGGGAAGTTGATTTTGGCCACATTCTAGCTATAGTGTAAAGCCTGTAATGGTATTCTATCACAGCCTTCCCAGTGCCAAACACAGATAAGACCTGGTTATACACAATGCAGTGATGGAGGATTCTATTTTTCTCCCATGGGGTTAAATGGATACCTCTAATTGTTATGGGATGTAGTCAGTTGTGAGGAGCTTGACCATAGGGACTTCTGGACAGTGGTTTTCAAATGGCCATATTTGGGGGTCACTTGAAGACCTTTGGTAACCATGTCAATGTCTTAGTTCCAGAAATTCTGATATCATTGGTCTGGACTATAGCTTGAACTTAAGGGATCATAGCACGTGGTTGGGACCCACTGTTAGGATGACCAATTAGGTCAAATAACTTAATATGTTGAGTTCATCATTGATCTAGGTGGCCAAAACCTTTGGAGGCAGCTGGGGAAAATGTCTTAGGAAATTAAGATGACAGTATTTCCTTTCTCTGCTCAGGATCCAAGCTTGTCTGTGTGTCTCACTCTGGGAACATGTAATTAAATGTAGCAAGAGCCTGAGTTTTTCTATAGATCCAAGTTTCCTAAGAACAATTAGGCAGCTCTCAACACCTTCTACCTATCCATACCAGTTTTGAATTACTGGACCCAATGGGAGCTCCTAATCCTCTCCAGGGTCATCTCAAACTCACTTAAAAGATAATGACAATGGTATATGTGACTGAGCTTTTGAAGCCGGGGCAGGGGTAGAAATAGTGGGAAATGAGTAATGACAGAAGAGCCCAGCTCAAAGTATTTTGGGAATTTTATTACTAAGGAATTAACTTGCTCTAATAGACCTATGGCAGAGCAGCAATACATTTCAAAGAAGGTTTGACTGCAGAACTGAAAGTTTGATTCATTTGTAAAGTGCCTTGTTTGTGTTCTTTCAAAGCATTATACCTTAGTGGGAGCAAAGTAATGAGAGGAAGGAAACCTACCAGTGCATCAGCTTTGTGCTTCAACTTCTTAGCTTCTTGCATGTAATAATCAGCATTGTGAACCCTAAACAAACAAAACAAGCTCTTTCACAAACCAGTGGTTCATCTTTCCATTAACAGACTGAATAGTTGCAAACATTTGACTATAAATGCATTCCTATACAATGCTTTGAAAAAGCAGACTAGTGCTGTCATTTATATCATAACCTACCTTGAAATAATATTATAAATGCAATTTCAAGTGCATAATAGTACATTAGAATAAATAATCACACCCTCCAACTCCAGTCATTACAGTTGTACAAACAGATCACACAAAACTTAGCTATAAATATCTGAGGATATTGATAAGATGACAAAAAATAACTGAGGAGGTATCATCTGCCTTGGGAAACTAAGAAAAGCACCATGGTTAAAATGGACCCAAGATATTTTTTGCTGAAAACAGAGATGAGTGTGTGTGTGGGGGGGAGGGTGACATACTTTTAAGGTTATAGGAGCTGATGTTAAGGTCTTATGTGGGGTGACACATGCATGGCACTAGAAAAGCCATACTGCCCCCACCCCCAATCACCACTTCCAGTCTGTGTCCATAATAATCTGGGGACAACATACGAGTCATCAAAAGTGAGCTTGGGTCTCCGGACATTAGTGCTGCTGCTGGACAGAAGGGGCAGGGCCGCCCAGGACGTCATCTCCAGGTGACTGCTATCCATAAGGCCAGTAGTGATAGTAGAGGTGATGGTGGAAATAGTAGTAGTGGTGGTTGTGGTAGTGGACGTGGCAGTGGTGGTGGCAGTAGCTGTGACAGTGGCAGTGACAATGGCAGTAGCAGTGACAGTGGCAGTGGCAATAGCAGTGTTGGTGACAGTAACGGTGGCAGAGGCAGCCTTTTTTGGAGTGTCTCCCTCCTGGGAAAAAGGAGGACAAATAGCTTCCATTAGGTCCAGCTGTTTAGATCATTTCTTCAGAAATGCTTTGAATGTCAAGCACAGTAGGAAACAAGGCAAGAAAAAAGAAAACAATACACACAGCTTGAGGATAAATAGGTAACCCAGGTATATTTCATGAATGCTGTGAATTACCAGCTTTTGTTCTGTGATAACACCAAACACCAAGCTAGTCAGGTGTTATGATTAGAGATCCATCATTGTATAAAGTCAGGCAGGGCAAAGGTCTAAATCTAGATGGAAATGTGAGGTGGGAAGGGAAGGAATATTACAGACAGGAGGACAGAGGGAGAAAGGACAGGAATAGACAAAGACATGAGACAGAAGAGGAGAAAGGAAAGGAGAGAAAAAAGGAGAGGAAGAGAGAGGAAGGAAGGAGGGGAGGGGAGAGGGAGGGAAAGAGAGAGAGAGAGAGAGAGAGAGAGAGAGTTTGACTGTGACTCTAATGTAGACATTTTTGATAAGGGGATCAGTCTAGAAAATGTCTTTAGGATAAGTAAAGTCCCCAAGTCACTTTATAAAATACCAGATATAAGGCATCAAAATACTAGAATATTAGGAATTGTACTGCAATGATCAGTGTGCTCTGGCTGAAGCAGCTCTTTTACTCATGTGAGGCCCTTGACTTATTTCTGACTAAGTGTATGCCATGCAATTGTGCTTCATTTTGAAGTCTTGGGATGGTGAAATCTCATTTCCACTTACTGAAATATCAAAAGGTAAGAGACTTATGAGGGTTACACTTTGAATTGCCATGGCTGTAGAGAGAGTGGGATCCAGAAGAAAGCAGATGATAGAATTTGTAATTACGAGGCAGTATTATGTTAAAGACCACATGCCAGGTTCACATGACAGACCATGCCCTCCTCATATGGCAACTGTGGGACAATCCTGATTGTTCTACCTCTGACAATACTCCCTATGGTGCCTCTTCCTCCTTCAGCTCTTCTAAGTTGGTATCTCCTTAAAATTGGTACACCCTAAAGTTCATTCCTTTAGATATCTTCTTTCCTGATCAGATTTGTCAATTTCAGACGTGTTGGCACAAATTCAAGAATAAACAGATAATTCCCAAATGGCATCTTCAATCTTACCTTCTCTCTGAAGCTCCAAACCTGCAGTGATCCTTCTCGAAGGTTCAACCAAGATGCCCACATTTTTCTCTAACCAAATTAATAGAAAACCAGTTCCCTCTTTCTGTTAATAGTAGGATGGTCTTCCCCGCCATCAAGGCTGGATTTCTCCATGTCACTGAGTTTCCAATTGAGTTTGGCATGGTACCACAGGGAACTGTGGTATTCCCTGGGCTAGAGGCATTATATAGACAGTGTAGGGTCTCTCCAGCTTGTCTTCCATCTGAGCTGTTCTATTTTAATGAGTTTTATATACCTAGGTTCTGTAATTTCATTTTTATTTTTTTCTTATTTATTTTTAATTTTTTTATTATCATGTTATTGTTGTGCTGGGGATACATTGTGACATTTACAAAAGTGCTTACAATATATCTTAGTTAGATGCACCCCTTCTATCATTCTCCTTTATCCCCCTTCTCTCCCCATCATTTTAAAAACTGATAATGCTCCTGAAACTCCTTTTGAAAACCCCAGCTACATTTCATCATTTTTTGTTTTCCATTAAACTTATCCAATGAAGTATAAATTCTATTTACTGCACCTTCTAGTGTCTCTCAAATCTGTCCTTTCTTCCTTCAAAGCCTTAAGTGCAGTCTCTTACAGCTTCATACTGGGGCTGACAGTCTCCCCAGGTTGGGTCTACCAGCCGGAGCTTCTTAAAAAAAGCTCCAAGCATGTCACTCCCCCTGAACCCAAGTGCAGACTCCAGGAGGAACTCCTGCACAGGCATTCAAGCCCCCTCCACTGCCCCGATAGAACTTTAGCTTGCTGCCCAGTCTCTAACTTTTTCCTTCCATGACCTTGGCTTCAACCAAACTGACCCTACTTTCTTGATCTGGTTCATGTGGAGTCTGAGATTTAAAAGCACCTTGACTTTATTTCTTCCTTTTTCATTACCATTTTGTGATAATGTACTCCATTATTCTTATTTTATATTTAATTTTTAATATTGTGGTAAACAAGCATATCATGAACTTTATCAACAGCTAATTTTAAGCACATTGTTCAGTAGTTTTAATTACATTCACATTGCTGTGCAATCAATTCCCAGAAATCTTTTACATTTTATAAAACTGAAATTCTTTATGCCTTAAACAACTACTTTCCATTCCCCCTTATCTTAGCTCTTGGCAACCACCATTCTACTTTCTCTCTCTATGAATATGAATAAAGCTGTATAGTATTTTATTGTATGGATATACCACATTTTCTCTCATCTCATCTATTCTTCTCATCTATTAAGGTTCAGCTCAACAAACCCCTCCTCCACTAAGAAAACTTCATTTGCTTATATAGCCAAAAGTACTTTAATCTTTTTTGTACCATTAATAGGAGTGACTCTATACTTTTTCTAAGACACCAGTCATCTAATCAGTCATTTTATACTCTAGTCCTTTGAACACAACTCTCATTGATCACATCAGATTGGAACCATCTGTGGTTTATGACACTGCCCCTCTAACCCATAGCCTAGCACCGTCAGTATTTGTCAAATGCATTAAAGCATATATGCAGGCATGCATGTCTTAGTCAATGATTTCATTTTAAAAGATAAAAACCCAGTGTAATACTTCTTTTTTTTGTGGTGGTGGTGGTATTGGGGATTGAACTCAGGGTCTTAAGTTTACTTAGGCAAGTGTTCTATAACTTGAATCATGCCCCAGCCCTTTTACTTATAGTTTGTTTTTCAGATTTAGGTCTGGCCCTAAATCTGCCAGACTGGCCTTGAACTGTGATCCTCCTACCTTTGCCTCCCAAGTACCTGAGATTACAGTGTGTACCACCATCACAGTGATCTCATAATATATATATATATATATAATATATATTATATATATTAAGATATATATATTTATCTTGTACATCTATAAAATATATATATCTTATATACGTTACATATATAAGATATATTTCTTATATCCATGCAAATTCATCCTTTCCACTTTATCGTAGACCTTCTGATGATCAAATAATTTCTGCTACCTATAACACACTTAAATAAATGTACAGAGAAGGTATATATCTTCAAATTGTTATGGATATGAACAAAATAGTTTAAAGGTCACCATAGATTTTATTTAGCCCAAACAGGCAGAGTAATGAGAGCCATAAGAAACTCCTATGCCAGCTCCATAGGACTACTGTCAGAGACAGAATGGCCCATATCAAACAGTGGGGTCAGGCCAAAACAGTGCCATCCATCTTATGGCCAAGATATATGGCAAGAACTAAGGAACATCACAATCTCCACACACGTGGTATTGAGGTTGGCTCTGAGACATCTGACTGGAAATGGCTAGATATAGTCATGGTTGTACAAATCGTAAAAGCCTATCATCTGTCTACATGCACTTATTTACTGAGTTAGTAAACAGGATTGAAATCTGAAAGAAGCCTTACAGATTATAAAGTCAAATCCACTCATTATATGAACTCAAATATGTTTCAGGAGCCTCAGGAAGGATGATATATTTCTAGGAGTAAATATAATCATACTTATCACATTTTCTTAGTAATGTTTAACTGTGCAGATTTTTGTCAGCATTATTGTTGTCATAACAACCTATATTATTTAAAACATTTAATTATTTGTGGCAAAATTAAACCCTATTTGTTCACTATTTTACAAAAAATTCACATTTGTAAATATGACTGTTAGAAAAATGCAACTTGAAGTCCCGGCCCTAGTTCAGTGACCTTCAGCTATCCCACTCCATCTCCTTGCTCTTTCATTCAGTAAATGATCAGTCCCTGCCACATGTCAGATGCTGTGGTCAGTATTATGGAAGTGTTCTCTCCACCCCCAAGTTCAAGTTATGAAGCTATTGGACCAAAAGATGTCCAAGGCCTTGAGTCTGCATGTGCAATCTGTTTGGGAAGCAATATGGAGAATTAATCTGGAATGAAAAAATTCATTCAGGTTTGGAATAATTAAGATTTTAAATATGTGGTTTTGTACACACACACACACACACACATACATACATACTCACACAAACATTTTTTTTTCTGTATGCCTCTTCCTTGCAACATTCCCTTTGGTCAACTCAATTTAGGTAAGTTACCTTATTTCTAACTGACAGTTTTAATATTTGTTCCCAGACACTTACATTTACAGATATCCCTTTGAAAGTAGCACAGAATTTGCCTTCACTTCTCTTAAGTTTGGTAGTGGTGATTTGTCCAGTCATAGAGATGTTTTTGTCTTGATTGAAGGGACCATTATTGCCACTGACGTTTCTGCGACGTGGAGGATCCTCTGGCAGTGGTGAAAGCGGAGGAGGGAACAACTTTTCTTCTTTTCTTCTATTTGCTCTCCTGGATGAATTTCTGTGGAAACAAAAAGTATAGGGTGCCATGAAGCCTTATCTTGGTTTATTCTGATTTTCTCCATGATGCTGTTACTTTCAGCTGAAGTGAAATGTTAATTGGTGACCCTTTACCATTGATGATATGGTGAGGAGTATGTATAAAATGCATGTAGATATGTGTATGTGCATATATATATATATAGAGAGAGAGAGAGAGAAAGAGACAGAGACAGAAAGACAGAGAGACAGAACACAAAGAGAGATAGAGAGATGCATATGTACATATCTAAGAATAAACCCATGCCTTTGAAGCTGAACTCCATGAAAAAATGTGGACAGCTAATGGACTAGTATTTATTAGATTTTCATAGAAAATACAATTTAGACTTTAATCCCATCGTTTTAAGGGTAGTTTCTACTTTTTTTGCCCTGGGACTTAACTGAATAATCATGCAATAAATGGTACAATAAATAATAAGTGGGAGGACATTTTCTTTAGACATTTCTTATACATTACTTAAAATAAATTACACACTAGATCCTATTGTGACACCTTGAAAATTGTTTGTACAAATGGTTCTAGCACAATGCTAAGGCATAATGAGCCCATGATCTTAAATTGTTACTTTGAAATACTAATGTACTCCACTTCACAAAATTCCCCTTAAAATATTTTTCGGTCATATTGACACAAGACATCTGCAATCCTAAAAATAATACCATGTTTTCAAATTGATTTATCTGCCCATTAGGTGGGCACCATCAAGCAGACTAAGACTTCAAATAAAACAGAGCAACTAAAATCTTATGCTAATTGCTTAACATGGTAATTGGGTCATGGATTTTCATTTTAGTTACTGTCTTAGATGAACCAATGAAGATTACTTGAATTTTACTCTTTTCTTCGACAACTAATATTGTACTGTGCATTTACTTTACATGATTATTGACTATAATTTTCAATATCAAATTAAGTAAACAAGAATTTATGTTTTCTTATTGGTCAATTTCATTCAGTGTCTAGATATATAGATTTACCATATCTCAAAGCAACAAATCAAAGATGAATAAGCATTCAAGTGGTCTGATTTCCTGAAACAGAAATCTCCTTGTTTCACTTCTATTGTGTTGCAAAAATTTGCCAATTGTAACAATATGTGTCATCTTCTCCATCTTTTGTTTCACAGATATGGCCATATGTCATTTTATTGCCGTACAGTGAATTGTCTTAAAAAAACAAGCATTTCTGTCATTACTTATTTGATTAAAATTAATATAAATATTTTCCAATTGATTTTTAAAATTCTTTGAAATAAAGAACAACTTTAAGATAGTTGAGATGCCGGATAAAAATGATACTGAATATATGGATCAAGATTGTATTCCTGTATAAAAATGGAAAATTGAGAACTGTTGAAACTATTCCAGGAATGAGGGGAGGGAGGGATAAAGAAGAATGAATTCAACTATGATATAATGTAATAACTTTTGTAAATGTCACAGTGTATCCCCAGTGCAACAATAATATAATAAAAATAAAAAATAAAAAATGATTCTTATCCATGAGGAAGCTCCATTAACACTAGACCATATTAAGTATAAAAATTACAGAGGCACCTAGGATTTATACACACATATGTCAAGCATTTCTGTGGCATCTACAGGAGGTAGATAACCACAAAAATTTGTTATGACCACTCCTCCACTACTAGAGCTGGCTAAGGTAGTGGGGCTTACAAGGGGAAATGCTGCTTCCAGGAGGCAACTGATTTGCCATTGGCTACTATAGACAAAGCCTTCCCATATGACAATGAACATTCTGTGTAGTAGGTACCAATGTCTTATTTCCCTTTCTGTCTGCTTGGTAGTGACCTGGAACTATGAGGCTTTTCATCACTTCCTTGGCAAACAACACCCAGGGAGCAATTGCTAGCAAAACTTCTCTGACTGTTATAGCTTCCAACTACAAGTACAGTTTTTGCATGTGTGTGCTCATCTTTAGATAGGCTAGAGAAGGACAGCAGAAAAGTATATCACCACTTGTTAATTAAGCTATCAGAGATTCTACTGATTGGTCAACCCACAAAGAAGGGGAGGGGCTCAACAGGCCCCTTTTGTTGGACTTTGGGGATCTCAAGGTGTAGCAACTTTGCTAGGTTTAGGTTTTCATTTAGAAAAGTGAATGCTGAGAGCACTCAGCTCCTACTCTCTATGTCAGGGGTGCTTGCTCTTTCCTCTCTTACTTCTCTGCTTTACTCTTCTTATGCTCTGCTTTACTAATAAATTTTTGTTGTCTCTTTAAAAAAAGAAAGGTGAATGTTGGCTCATAGAAATTTTAAGAATTTAGTGTGTAGGTCAAAGGCACAAAGGAGTAGAAAAAGATTAAGGACAGTGTTCCCAAGAGAAGACCCCCTAAGAGACCAGTGTGCTTCATTCTTCAATTCCAGAGATTTTTTCCAGAGACTTAATGTCTTTGATGACGATAAGGATCTGATATAGGGCCTTCCTGAATGACAAATTCTCCTCAGGAAACGCTGCATTTTTACTTACTAGAAAAGCAGAAAACTTGATAAGACTGCAATGAAATCACCATTTATTGAAAACAAATTCAAATGACTAGATTGTTATTTAATACTTGATTGTCTGTCTTCCATAAGTTGGAGGAAGTACCAAGTCACTAGTATACATTGTAAGGAAACTAGCAGTGGGAAATGATGGTAGTGTAAACACCCCTATTTCTCTGGCCTCTTTATTTTTTCCTGTGGGTACTTTGAACTGATCAGAGTGTGGAGATTGAGGAGGTATTGCCACCAGAGCTATTCCATTTTTGTCTTTCCTCTTTGGAAAGAAGAGCCCTGGAATGACTCTGTTTGACCACCAAGATCCATGCTTCTTGGTCCACCCTGAATTGACAGGGTCAGCTTGCTCCACTGGGTTTCCAGTTCTGAGACCTGAAACTATGTGAATGGTTGTTTCAGAGCTAGTTTATACCAGAGATCCTTGGGGGGATATGGTGTCCCAGGGTTCAAATCTTCTTATCTTTATATCTTCACTTTAGCCAATCTAGTGGTAATTTTTCAGGTGCAATCTTTCATCTCAAAACAAGGACCTAGACCAAGGTAAGCTGATGCATTATTTTTGACATCTGATCTGTGGCAGATTGATGCCTAATCACCGATGTTAAAAAGTAATCTGTGAAATCAATTGTTAGCAGCAGTTAGCCAGATTGCCTTTCTGCTCTAAGCTGCTAATAGACTCCAAAACTAGGCTTTGATGGAAGCAATACCTAATGTTGAATGAATTTATAGCAATAATTACCCAGACAGAATGGTTCAAGTAACTGACATGATTGTTAGTTAAATGATATTTATAAGATAGAACAAACTTGATTGCAATGCTTGGTAGAAACAGAGGGCAGGACTTTTTTGGGTGCAGCTCATGCAATCTAAGTGGAGAGAGGTTCATGAGGCCTCCTGCCTGACTTTGGAACCTTCCACACAGAGAAAGAAGGGAGAGGAGGTGTCAACAGGTTGGAGTTAACATATCCATCCCTAGTAGACATTCCCTGACACAGAACTGCCCTGGGGTGGGGAGAGGGCACAACTTCCCACCAGCTCATTCCCTTAAATGCATCATTTTGCTGGTCTCTGTGGAGTTCAGAAAGTAGGTGCTTGTCCTCAAGCTTTGTATTAACAGTAGGTAATGCATTCAAAAAGCAACAGTGGAAGAATCAAGATGGTGAATAGCCAATAGACCCTGGAACCCTGACCTCTCATAACTCCAGAAGAATACTTCAGATTCATGGTAGCAAGGATAAGGTAACTTGACTTTTTGCCAACTAAGATACCACCAACATAATGTGCACATAATGTACAATGACCAACCCAACCGACACTTAAATTAGCTTTTTGTAGCACATAACAGCTCTGGAAGCCCAGGCACTATGGACCAACAGCTGCCGGCCCACTCACTGGAAAGCCATTCCCCGCCTCTTTTTTGGCTTCTTTTCTTCTCTTTTGGAGAAGCAAAAATGCAAGGCAAAGAACTGCAGAAAGATTTCTGCAAGCATCTGAGATATCCTGAACCTACCATAATTCATGGACACAGAACCTCATCAATTGTCACACAGCCCAACCTACCAACCTTAAGAAGGGGCAGAGACACAAAGAAAGCCCCTGTCAAAAGTTTCAGCAACTGGATTCGAAATCAGAAGAAAGAGCCCAGAACACCCATTGAACTGAGAAGGAATGCATTTCTCTTCATAATAAGGAAGAAATTTGGACAATAAAAATATATATTTTTTTCTTAAGTATTTTTATTTATTTATTTATTTTTAATTTGTTGCTACCTATGTCCCTCTTCCATTCTATCTAAATATCAATTTGCTTAGCATTCTCTTGTTCTACTTTCCTTTCTCTCCTCCATTTTTTTCTTCTCTTTTCTTTCTCCTTTCTTCTTCTTATCTTCCTCTCTGCCCCTCCCTTTCTGCACACTGTCCCTACCTCCTCCATACTCACAACTCACTGAGTAGTGTAGTATACCAACTTTACATGTTGCCCCAATCCTTCCTATCCATCTGCAATCCCTGACAATAGCACCTCCCCCACAATGACTAAACTATATCTTTACGTACATTAGAGATTATTACCCTATAGCTTCCATACCTCATATCTCTTCTCCCAATCACCCCATCATGCCTTCCTGCTCCATCTTCTAGCACCATCTTTTTAATTACCTAAGTATCTATCTCTAGGCAAACAACTGTTATCTACCCAATACTGCTGTTTATAGATAATATCACCAAAGTTTTTAAAAAATATATTATGTAAACAAGTGGTTTGGCATTGAATCTGTGAATATGTTATTGTAGGTTATACCTCCAGGTCAGGGAACAGAAATATTACAACAACATAGCTAGCAAACAACTAAGATAGCAAAGCATAGAAATTAAGTCAAGGAAAAGATAACAGGTGATTAAAACCCTCAACTAACTAATCAACAACACACAAGCAAAGCAAAATAAAAACATGGGGAGAATAAAAAGGCAGGGGAATACGACTTCTCAAAAGACTAACAATAACATAATAGAGGATTTTGGTAGAAAGTGAAGGGAATGAATCCCCAGTTGCTGATGTCAGCTGAATGATGATAAGAATGTTCAATGAGCTTAAAGAAGACATACAAAAACTACACAATGAATCACAAGAGAACACAAATTAAAAAATCAAGAAGACACAGAAACAACAAAATGAACTCAAAAAGGACTTCAACAAACACAAAAATGAAACTAAGGAGATTATTAAAAAAGAGATAAATAAAATAAAGAAGACAGCACAAGATATGAAAGAGGACTTTAACAAAGATCTGTGAAGTCTCAAAAAAAATCAAACAAAAATCCTAGAAATAAAAAGCTCCTTAAATCAGATTAAAAAATAAAGTTGAAAGCAAATTCAGCAGACTGGAACAAGTGGAAGACAGAATTTCAGGGATCAAAAACAAAATAGATATTAAAGAAAGAAACAGAAGAACCCATAGACAAAAGATTCAAGAGCTGTGAAGGGAATATGCAAGAACTCTAAATCCTGCAAAAGACCAAACCTGAAAATCAGGGATATTGAAGAAGGAGAAGTGCAAGCCAAATGTATAAGTAATATAGTCAACAAAATAATAGCAGAAAATTTCCCAAATCTTAAGAAAGAGATGTCCATCTAGGTACAGAAAGCCTCCAGTACAACAAACACACATGAAGAAAACAGAACCCCTTCATGCATATTATAGTTAAAATAATTAGCACAAAGAACAAGGAAAGAATATTGAAGGATGTAAGAGAGAAAAATCAATAACAAATAAAGGTAAACCCATCAAGATAACAGCAGATTTCTCAGCAGAAACCTTAAAGGCAAAAAAGGGCATGGAGTAAGGTATTTCAAGCACTAAAAGAAAACAATTTGAGTTCTAGGATATGCTACCCAGGGAAGTTCACATTCAAAAATTAAAGAGGAATAAACAGAAACAGAAACAATACATGACCACTAAACCACCAGTACAGAAGATTCTGAAACGAATCCTACGCACAGAAGATGAAAACAAACATAGCCATGAAAGCAAGGAAATTATTAAACCTCAAGAGAACAACAGACAAGCAATCAGATAGTAGAATAGAACTAACTGCACACACACACACACACACACACACACACACACACAAATCCTTACACAACAAAAACAACCTAATGGCGGGAATCACCACACACCTCTGAATATTAACACTGAATGATAATGGCCTCAACTTCCCCATAAAAGACACCAACTGGCAAACTGTATTAAAAAGGAAGACCCAACAGTCTGGTAATTACAAGAAACCCACCTTACAGACAGAAGCAAACATTGCCTCAGGATGAAAGAGTGGAATACTATTTACCATACCAAAGGCCTCTGAAAATAGGCAGGAGTAGCAATACTTATATCAGATAAAGTAGATTTGAAACCTGAATTAGTCAGAAGAGACAAAGAAGGTTACTTCATAATAATGAAAGAAGCAATACATCAAGAGGAAATAACAATTGTTAACTTATATGTGCCAAATGTTGGTGCACCCAATGTCATTAACCATGCAACATGCACTACTGGACTTAAAAACACAGATAGTCCCCAACACACTGGTGGTGGGAGACTTCAATACTCCTCTATCCCCAATAGATAGGTCATCCAGACAAAAAAATTAACAAAGAAATTCTAGAATTCAAATGGACCTTACAGAGGTCTACGGAGTATACCATTCTGTGACAGCACAATATACTTTCTTCTCAGCAGCCCATGGGACTTTCTCCAAAATAGGCCATATCTTAGGTCACAAAGCAAGCTTTAGCAAATATAAGAAAATTAAAATAACCTCTATATACTGTGTGACCACAATACAATAAAAGTAGAACTCAACAATAAAAGAAACAACAGAAAATAGTCAAACATATAGAGACTGAACAATACATTACCCCATGATCAAGGGGTCATTGAAGAAATAAGGGAAGAAATCAAAAAGTTCCTGGAATTTAATGAGAATGAAAGCACAACCCATCAGAACGTATGGTACACAGCAAAGGCAGTCCTAAGGGGAAAGTTTATAGCCATGAATGTATATATTAAAAACAGAGAACTCTCAAATAAATGACCTAATGCTTCATATCAAACTGCTAGAAAAACAAGAACAAATGAAACCCCAAACCAGCAGAAGGAGAGATATATAAAAATACAGGCCAAAAATAATGAAGTAGAGACCAAAAAGCCCACACACAAAAAAACAATGAAACAAAAAGCTGGTTCTTTGAAAAGATAAATAAGATTGACAAACCCCTGGTAAATTTGACTAAAATGAGGTACGAAAAAACCCAAATTAATAAAATTAGAAATGAAAAAGGGGAGATAACATCAAACACCAAAGAAATCCAAGGAATCAGTAGGAACTACTTTGAAAATCTATATTTAAATGAATTGGAAAATCTAGAAGAAATGCACAAATTTCTAGACACATATGACCATCCAAAATTGAACCAAGAGGATATTAACCACTTAAACAAATTTATAACATGCAATGAAATTGAAGTAGCAATAAAGTCTTCCACAAAAGAAAACTCTAGGACCTGACAGATTCACTGCTGAATTCTACCAGACTTTTAAAGAAAAACTAACACTAACACTCCTCAAACACTTTTCCATGAAACTGAAAGGGAAGGAACACTTCCAAACTCATTCTGTGATGCCAGTATTACACTCATCCCCAAACTGGACAAGGTACAACAAAAAAAGAGAATTACAGGCCAATCTCTTTAATGAACATAGATAGAAAAATCTTCAGTAAAATATTGGCAAACTGAATTCAATAGTATATAAAAAAATCATGTATCATGATCAGGTTGGTTTCATCCCAGGGATGCAGGGATGGCTCAACATATGCAAATCATTAAATGTAATACAGCATATTAATGGAAGCAAAGACAAAAACCACATGATCATCTCAATAGATGAACAAAAAGCCTTTGACAAAATTCAATATTCCCTTCATGATAAAAGCTTTGATGAAACTAGGAATAGAAGGAATGTATCTCAACCTAATAAAGTCTATATATGACAAGTCTATACCCAACATCATACTAAATGGGGAAAAAGTGAAAACATTTCCTACATAGTCAGGAATGAGACAAGGGTGGCTACTCTCTCCACTGTTATTCAACATAGCAATAAGACAGGAAGAAGAAGTAAAAGGAATATAAATTGGAAAGAATGAAGTCAAACTATCCCAGATGACATGATCTTATGCCTAAAAGATCTGAGAAACTTCACCAAAAAATTCTTAGACACCATGAACAGCTTCAGCAAAGTAGCAGGATACAAAAGTCGGTTTACAAAAATCAGTAGGCTTTTTTATACACCAACAATGAATAGATTGAGAAAAAATATAGTAAAATGATGACATTTATAATAATTTAACAAAAATCAAATACCTAGGAATAAACTTAACAAAGGATGAAAATGACCTCTACAAGGAGAGTTACAAACCATTGAAGAAAAAGATCGAAGAAGACTACAGAAAGTGGAAATGTCTCCCATGTTCATGGATTGGCAGAATCAATGTAGTAAAAATGGCTATACTACTAAAAGCAATCTACATGTTCAACACAATTCCCATCAGAATCCCAATGACATTCATCACAGAGATTAAAAAATCAACCCTAAAGTTCATTTGGAAGCAAAAACGACCACCAATAGCCAAAGCAACACTGAGCAAAAAGAACAATTCTGGAGGCATCACAATACCCAACTTCAAACTATACTATTGAGCCATAGCAATAAAAACAGTACTGGCACAAAAACAGATATGAAGTCCAGGGGAACACAATAGAAGACCCAGATATGAATTCATGCAGCTAGATCACCTGATTTTTACAAAGGCAACAAAAACATATTTGGAGAAAAGACAGCCTTTTCAACAAACTTTGGTGGGAAAGTGATATCTGCAAACAGCAAACAAACTAGATCCATGTCTGTCATCCTGTACAAGTATTAACTCAAAGTGGATTAAGGACTTTAATATAAGACCTGAAACTGAATCTAGAGCATGAAAGAGGAGGGAATACACTGGAAGCAATAAGCATAGGCAAGGACTTCCTCAGTAGAACTCAGGTGGCTCAGAAACTAAGAAAGGATTGACAAATGAGACTACATGAAATTTAAAAGCTTCTGAAAAACACAAGAAATAGTCACCAAATTGAAGAGGCTGCCCATAGAATGGGAGAAAATCTTTGCCAGTATACATTTGACAAGGGATTAATAACCAGAATTTACAGGGAGCTCAAAAAATTAAATTTCCCCCAAATCATTGATCCAATGAAGAAATGGGCAAATGAACTGAACAGAGCTTTTTAAAAGGAAGAAGTCCAAATGTCTAAAAAGCACATGAAGAAATGCTTGACATACCTGGCCATAAAGGAAATGCAAATCAAAACCATGTTAATATTCCACCTCACTTTAGAATGGCTACCATCAAGAACACAAATAACAACAAATGTTGATGAGGATGCAGGGAAAAAGGAACCCTCATATACTGGTGTTGGGAATGGAAATGAATACAACCACTATGGAAAAGAGTATGGTGGCTCCTTAAAAAAACTAGATATAGAACTGCCATATGATCAACACCACTCCTAAGGATATACCCTAAGGAATGTGAATCAGTTTATAACAAAGACACCTGCACACCCAAGTTTATTGCAGGATTATTCACAATAGCTAAGCTATGGAAACAGTCCAGATGTCCCACTAATGATGAGTGGATTAAGAAAATGTGGCATTTACAATGGAATTTTGTGCAGCCATGAAGAACGAAATGTTATCATTCGCTGGTAAATGGATGGAATTGGAGAACATCATTCTGAGTGAGGTTAGCCTGGCCCAAAAGACCAAAAATCGTGTGTTCTCCCTCATATGCGGACATTAGATCAAGGGCAAACACAAGGGGATTGAACTTTGACCACAAGAAAAAAGTGAGAGCACACAAGGGAGATATGAGGATAGGTAAGACACCTAAAAAAATTTGCTAGCATCTGTTGCCCTCAATGCAGAGAAACTAAAGTAGATACCTTAAAAGCAACTGAGGCCAATAGGCAAGGGGACCAGGAACTAGAGAAAAGTTTAGATCAAAAAGAATTAACCTAGAAGGTAACACACATGCACAGGAAATTAATGTGAGTCAACTTCCTGTACAGCTATCCTTATCCTAACTAGCAAAAGCCTTTGTTCCTTCCTATTATTGCTTATACTCTCTCTTCAACAAAATTAGAGATAAGGACAAAATAGTTTCTGCCGGGTATCAAGGGGGTGGAGGGGAGAGGGAGGGGGTGGAGGGGAGAGGGAGGGGGCGGAGTGGGTGGTAAGGGAGGGGGTGGGGGCGGGGGGAGAAATGACCCAAGCCTTGTATGCACATATGAATAATAAAAAAAAAGAAAATGTGGTATTTATATACAGTGGGATTTTATTCAGCCACAAAGAAGACTGAAATTTTGTCATTTGCAGGTAAATGGATGGAACTGGAGAACATCATCTTAAATGAAGTTAGCCAGGTTCCGAAGGCCAAACACTGCATGTTTTCCCTCATATGTGGAATATAAACCTAATTCAAATACAGCAATAGTATGAAACACTGTTAAGAAGATGAATATAGTTGTTGTGCTCTCTAAACAAGAGAGTTATATCACCACTGTTATAACACCACTAGGAGACTAAGATAGAAAGAAGAAAAATAGAGGAGATGAACCAATTTGGGTTACAATACATACACACATAGATAGACAGATAGATAGATATGTATATATATATGTATATATATATATACATATATCTAAACAAACAAAACTGTCATTTTGTCATTTTCAAATTTGGAGAACAGGAGGGCAGAACAGGTCTTTTGTGGGGAGTTGGTACCAGTGCATGGGGGGAGGAGGTGGGAAAGGGTGGGCGGTGGGTGAATATAGCGTAAATACTCCAGGAATCAAGGGTGGGGGATAAAGAAAAATGAAAGAGGGGGTGAATTAAACTATAATATATTTGATATATTGTAAGAACTTTTGTAAATGCCACAATGTACCCCCACCCAGTGCAACAATAAAAACAAAAACATAAAGCAACAGCTTTGTCATCATGTCATGATCAAGCAAAACTGTTTAATCACCATCAGAAATGAACGTTGGTCAAAAGCAGATTATAGCTAAGGTGATATGTGTCTCTTCACATTTCCCCTTTTAAATGTACTGTTTTACCCTTTACTAAGTGGAAAGAATTATTTTGGGCTGATTATGGTGATCACTCTCAGTTTTAGTAAACCTCATGGTCAGGTAAAACCTGGTACCCTGTATTCTATCCTTTACCCTTGTTAGGTCAGTGGCTATGGACAGCTTTCAGACATGGACTGAGTGACTCCTGTTTCTTAGTTAACATCTTTTTGGAATAGGATGCTCCAAATGGGCTAAAATGGTGTTTCTTAAAAATAAGAACAATCGTACAGGGCTATCATACAGAGACAGGGAAAACTCACTCTCTAGCGTTGGGAGGCTTGTGGGGTGGGGCTGGTGAGATGCAAGGGGGAAGCAGGCAGATAGTGGTAGCCTCCTCCAGGCGTTGCTTCTTCTCAGGGATTTTCTCTGCAACTTCTGCTGGCTTTGACAGGAAAAAATACACAGAACTTGAAATACATGGCATATTCAGACAAGAATATTTCGTACATTAAAATGAGCAAGACGGATAGTTTGCTTCTATTTTAACTTCTAGATTAGGTAGGGCAGTTAAATATGCACCTTTGATCAGACAGAAAAGCAATCAGCCTTGCCTAGTCTAGTCCTTCCAAGAAGTTGGCATTTGAGAGAGCTGACCTCTGTTGTGAACCTCTGATTGAAGACAGGGTGGCACAAGAATCTCATAATAAAAGTAAAGAGAATTTATAATTTTCAGACACTTCTCTCATCAATACCACCCTTACAAATGAGTAGTTCAGAAACTAACATAACTCTAACATGGCATAATTCCTGTCTAAACAGCATGGGGCATGTGGGTAACATATAATGGCTTCTTTATAAAATCAACAACATTCAGGGAAAAGAATCATGTATAAGGCATGCCTTTGGATCTTTGCATATGTTGACTCTGAAGCACATTTTTATCTCTGGTTGTATTGTTGTCAATAATAAGAGAGAAGAACCAGTGGCAGCACAAGGATCCCAGGCCTCTTGATCCTTATTTTGGAACCTTCTCATGGGATACTTTAGTGCGTGACTCAGAGATAATACCAGCGCTCCTATTTCTTAGTGCTCCCTTTTCTTCCAGGGCTCGTGTCTCACAGCACCCCCTTTCTTAACACTCCCCTGTCTTACAGCAATCCCTAGTCTCCTCTGTTTTTCAACCCCTAAATTAAAGGCAACCCATTAATAAAATTAAAGTGTCCCACTTAATAGGCCTATTTAATACTGGCTTTGGGTGAGCTGATCCTCATAAAAGAATCTGAGCCATTTATGGCCATACTCAAGTCTCTCCTGGAAAGAGACAGGAGAAACGAGGAAAGGACTAGCAATACCCTCTCTAGCCACTACAGCAACTGTTAGAAATAAGATTACCTGAATGTCACTTTGAGACAATATTATTCTAAAAATCCACCTTGAGATCTGGAGACAAATCAGAATGAGCATTTTTTACCACAACCTCATCTCTCTAGACATATTTTAAATGGAATGAGCCATTCTGTATTTCCCCTTCTGCTGATACCTTGTAGCTCTGAAACTTAGTCCAAACCACCTGTGGGTGAGATTTTCATAAGGCAGACCTACAACATAGGTCAGTGGTTTTAGCAGGCTAGGCAGAGCATGTGCCTGGTAGAAGCCAGGATGGGTTGTGAATGTGTTAATATTTGTCCAGACAAATAAACAAGCCCAAAGGATGCACTGGGACATTATGGGCACATGGGCTCCCTGCGGATGCTAGCTAGGATGGGTGACTGAAGAACAATGATATACGATGCTCTGATAGCAGGAGCAGCTTAAGGGGACTCTTCATATTCTTCTTTCCTTACATCATAATCTGTCATGTGCCATATTGAACACTTTTGCCTCTGGCTGCCAAACCCTTATCATTCCTAGCAGTTTGAATCTGGTCACATGTCAAATACTTCACTTCCTATGAAAAACATCATTGCCTTTACCAAAGTCTACAGTCCACTGCTACCGGCCTCCTTGAAAATGAGACTCAAGGTCAAGTTAGACAACAGTCACTGCTATCTCATGATCACTTGACAGGCCACATGGGACATCTCACCTTGTGCTTACGCTTGCCCTTAGGGGCTGGTTTTTCCACAGCTATGGCAGCAGTTTGACGCTTGGGTTTTGAGGCAATTTCCTTGAGGTCTGGCTTGGCAGGTGCTGCTGGGATTGAGTTGTGGCCAGGCACTCTAGAAAGTAAATCAAGGTCAATCTTCACCCATAGGTTTTTCAGATTCTCATGGTCTCGTAAAGGAGACATCACAGGAATGGGTGAGAAAGCCGGCTCCTCACTGATGGATAGGTTGTTGTTGTTGTTGCTGCTGACCAAGGTGCTGAGGGTCAGGCTGGTAGCAGAGGTATCCTTGGATTTGGCAGTATTACCTCCAGGAACAATGCAAGGAGGCAGGACTTTGATCTGTAGGGTCTCTTCTTGGTCTGTGTTGGAGTCAGATGTAGATGAATCCGTTTCAATGAATTCCCGGGACTTTGGCACGATCTTGCCAGGCCCTCTATATTTCTTTTTCTCGGTAGCCAAGGGGATGTTAGGCCTTGGTTCTTTCCTAGGGACTGGTTTGTGGGCAGTGGCTTTGTTGCGACTTCTTGGTGGTTCAGAAAGCTCCACACTTTCTTTTTCTTTGGGAGTGCTGCTGGTAATATTTGGTTTGGGCCAGGTAAACTCCTCAATGCTGGTGTTTTTCTCAACCTTTTTGGGCTGTTTCTTCCCAATTGTCCTTTGAGAAGCTGTATCAATAGTTGTTGACAACTTATGCTTCAAAGCCTTTGTTTCTGGAGTTTTCTGAGTGGACCGTGGGCGGGCTTTCTCTCTAATGAGACTCAGGAGAGGCCTTTCTTTGGGTTCAGCCAGGACTTGGCTGGGGTTAGATTTCACTTTGAGCTGGACTTCCATTGGTTGGATTATTGGGGGAGGCAGAGAAATAGTCTCCATAGGTGTTTCATTTTGTCCACAAATGAATGACTTGTTCTGGGATGTCACTTTGTTAAGCCATTTATCCAGTTGCCACTTGTTGGTTGAGGGTGGCTCAGGCTGCAGATTGAGAAACAGCAGCAAGAATGAATTTCACATTTTAAGAGAATTTAGCAGTACTCTCAATAAAGTGACTATTTGGTAAAAAAGATCTAAATATTAAGTGACCATTTACATGTATACAAACACACACACACACACACACACACACACATAATCAAATTATTCATTTGATCTCCCCTTACACCAGCCAGATAAAAATGAGCGCAGTCTACTTATTTAAACTAATTTCCATTCTTCCTCTGAAAATATTCTTCACTCTGTCCAGGAAGGAAAGAATTATTCACAGGGAGGTGTTTCGGAGGGCAGGCAGGGATGTCTGGGAAGGAACCTTATTCCCCAAATCCTTTGTTGGGAATCATCACTCAACCTCTCACCAGAAGGCAGGGGTAATAGTCTCTGATCCTAAAAAGAAATCTAAGTATGCCTCAAGAGTAATTCAAAAGGAAAGCCTTTCCATTCACCAAAGTGCCAATGCCTCCTATATGATGCTATAATCACTGAAAACAGGACAAGCCCTTTGTGCTTTTGCTGAATGAAAATATTTGACTCCCAAAAGAAAATCCACTGTACTTTAATCTGTGTATGTCAATAACCAATTTATGAGGACATTTATGCAGACATCAGCAGCTATTGTGAAGTCATTGAAATAATGTGTACAATTCAGGTTCTTCATTTCCAACTCTAGATTCTGCCAGTTGAAGTAAAAGAACCATTGGTTTTATTAGAAAAGCTCTTCTTTTGAAAACTATAGCTGAGGCTTATGGCACAAGTCAATATAGGGTGACAGAATTCAAAACACTTGAGTAGCTGTGATTCCAACCTGCACAGGACAATGGCAGGTTAAGAGTTGGGGAAACTGTATTGCCTACCGTTACAGGCAGGATAGCTCCAGGGTTAAGAACACCAGCTGTGGCAACACACTGATCTGAGTTTCAGTCCTGGCTCTACTACTGTGTATCTGTGAGATCTTGGGAAAATTCTTGTTTAGCCTCTCAGAAGCTTATACTCTCTTCTGTAATGGAGATCACAATAGCATGTCCCCTACAGAGTTGTTAATTAAGATGAGAGGAGAAAAAGCAAGTCATAAGTCTAGCACAGTGCCTGGCACATGGCTCATGTTTAGTAAGTGTTATTACTAATAGCAGAACTATTAATTACTGCCTCCTTTCTGATTATTGAAAAATGAGTATATGAAGAGCCATGGTGGATGGGGTAGAATTGCTTGCTGTCCCAGGTGCAATCTCAGGGGACCAGAGAAACTATCTTAAACTCAAAGAGTATAGAAAGGGAAAAAATAATTATTTTATTTCAAAATTATTATTTTGTATTTTGGGGTTGGGTCAAATGCTTTCATGAATGATTAGCAGATTCACCTGATGCAAATTGAAGTAAAGAACATGTGACCTCTCAAGTATCATTTTACCTTTATGGAAAGGCATACTTATTGAGTCTTTCTTGCCTAGTGTCAATTCATTATTTTAATAACTTTGATCTAGCATAGTTGTTGGCATACCTTGGGCCAGAAGTGGGTCTTGACTGGTTTCATTGTTTCCCTTCAAAGGGCCCAAATAATGTATACACATGTAAGTAAATGTAAAAATGATACAAAAAAAATAAAAAGGGAAGCTGTTAGCCCAGTCATTGCTGTTACAGTTTTACATGAGAGGAGGCTTCAGGCACAACAAATCAGTCACACAACAAGAAATGTATATATGTTAGGGCCTATGCAAATAATATTTTAGAGAAAAAATGTTATCAAATACCTAAATGTTTTTCTGAAGAAGTTATTATTCTAAAGTAATGACCATGTGGAAAGTGTTATGTGTATCTTGAGTGCTGCCTGAGGTATAGGCAGATGGAGTTGGGGCCCTGGCAACTTCACTCACCTCTGGAGTGGCCACACGAGGAGCCTCATTGCATTCGCTGTCAGTAGTACTGCTTTCAGTATCTGAGTCCGATTCTGAGCTGCTCTCTGACTCACTGGAGCTGCCAGAACCCCCACTTGCTGGCACTACAGATGGGGGCTGCAGTGTGGCCAAGGGTGGGCTGAAAAAAAAAATGGCACCATTTATTACCTCCTTCAGCCTAAAACTAGATGGACATAGCCCAGCTCAGCATAAGGGCTACAGGCAGAGTGGAATATACTATCCCCATTTTACAGGTAGGAAATGTGAGACTCCAGAGGCCTGATGACTGGCACAATGTCAAATGTTTGATCATAATCAGGTCTGTGTGTATCCAAGTTTCTTGGCTTCCCAGTACAGTGCCTGCCCTCCCAGGAAGGCAAGGCTCACTCCACATGAAGACATCAAGCCAGGGTTGCCTGCCTTCTGGATACAGAATAGAATCAGAGCCTTAGATGCTTAATTGTCCCATTTATTTATTTCAGTTAAGATAATTTTTCATTTTCTGTTGCAATCTTTCTCAAAGTCCCCAGGTCTTTCAAGGGGCAATGATCTCAGCTAAACCCAGTATAGTCCTATTACTAAGAAAGGGTAAGTTCAACCTTCATTTTAATTGGGGGAAAGAGAGGCCCCTGGAGGAGGCACTTGCCTCTGCCTCACAAGTAGTTGGCGCACCTATGCTAACACCTGGCAACATGGTGTTCCAGCCCCCTCAAAGGGCAGTGGCTTTGCTGAGCATTTCTGTGTCAAGAGTCCAGCACTGAGCACCAAGATGACAAGGAGGACCTCAATTGCTGTCTTTTGGGTACAAGAATAAAGAAATTCGAGAATGCAATCCTTTGTCTCTTTCACCATAATTTTTGTAAACTGTAAAACTCTTGCCAAGGAGGTATGATCCTAAGGGACCAATTATCTCTAATTATTGATTTAGAATTTGTAATGCTGACCAAGCAAAGCATTTGGAAAGTGACACCATTTGCTACTCTGCCTTTATTGGGAATCAATATTCCTCCTTACTGATCGTTTGCACTCTGTGCCCTATAACAAATCAACCACAGCTGCCTTATAGCATGTTGGGGTATTACACTACCTTTCTGTCCTTTTGCTCATTGCCATTTTGGACTGAGTTCTGCTGTGCTTTCTCTCAGAAATGGGGCTTAAAACTTCAGGGAGGGTTCTAGTATCCCCCATGTCTCTCCAGCCCAGTGCAACTTTGAGGATCAGTTGAACTCATGGTAAAGGAGAGGCTAAGGGCTAGTGCATTTTCTCTGTCATGCCAAGTCCAACCTACATTTCTGCCTGGTCATCCATCTGGCCTTCCCTGCTTCTCACACACTACAGCGACTTGCTTGGCTCTCCCTACTCACATTCCCTAAATCTGAGGCAGCAATTTAGATAGGAGCACAATCTTGGCCTTGAATGTCACTTGGTCCTGTGGTCCCAGCTTCAACTCTGACACAGAGGGATGCCAAGGATCTCCCTGCCCAAGACTATGGAAACATTCATTTTTATTCTTTGCCCAAACTCACACTAGTTCATGTCCCCAGTCCTATTCCCTCACCAGAGCCACTTCTGCAACATTACAGCTCTCAGCAGGTAGACTGAAGTTGTACTCAGGAGCTACTTTTAAAGGAATAAGATACCTCTGAGGTCAGCATGAGCTCCTCATCAGTCACCATTCAGTAGAGAGAGTCTTTGCATTACTTGTGTCTTCCATTCCTAAAGACTGGCCCTTTAATCTCCCAGGTAAGCATTTTCTTTCATAGAGTGACAGTTCAGTTAAAAATGTTGTCTGCTAAGTAATGCTATCTGTAAGTATATTCCTCTGCTAAATACACTAAGAAATTAGAGGAAAGTACAAGAAATAGAGGACTATTTCTTGTGGGAACCTGTGTATATATTTCTTCAACAACAGAGGCAGGAGTGGAGACCTATAACTCAATGCTCTTATTTCTCTGCATTACATTGCAGATATCTCCTTAAATGTCAGTAATGGCTCCATATTTATGCAAAGTGCCCTTTAAATCAAATCAATTGTTTTTAATCTTAGTTACTCGATAAAGATTGAGAGAACATATCTAAGTGATACTAATCCAGAGATTAGGCTAACTGACCTCAATTCCCCCCAAGCAAAGTTTCAATTATAACATGGAGCATCTCCAATACTGAGAATACCAGGTGGTGGATTGAGGGATAAGATCTAATTTAGATACAAATTTATGATATTCAAATAAAAGCCTGTTTCCTAGTACTTGTTCACATCTATGCATTAGTTTCTGGCTTCCTGTAAGAAGCTGGTGATCCTGATATTACCAAATTAAAATAGACTCTGGATATACTTGGGGATATTTCTGGATAGAATTTCCACTTACTAGATTCTTTCTGAGCAATTTCTGTAAGAAACAAAATCAATGAGATTACTCAAAAAACCAAATGCACTGAGGAAATGAACATAAAGCACAGATATTTTATTTATCAGAATCAACTATTCCTAAGCTAAATCAAAATAAAGCTCCACAGATTTAGTCAGAAACTCTATGTTTGTGAGTGTGTGTGCATGTACACACATCCAAGGGAGTGTTTATATGTGTTTTTTATCCAAAGCCCTTAAAAGGACAAATGTATTTTGGTATTCAGATTTTTTATTCTTCAAAATTAATATGATGAAGTTATGTATCTACATATACATAAATATATATAATGCTCCCAGTGGAATCTGGGGATATACTCTTAAAAAACTTAATGCTGCACGGTAACCTTCACAGTGACAAGAATAAATACTTAAATAAATATACTTAGCTTAGATCAGGTTTGTTACCTAATGAATTTGCCCCAACTTAGAAAAAAGAACAGCTCTCAGGCCTTAAATTCTTAATTTCCAAATTTTAATGAGGAGATTATAGGCATGGATAAAAACCAGTGCACCTACTCTGCTGGGAAATGGAAGCTACACATGTGAATCTAGGTCTTACTTCCTTTGGAGTCACCTTGCACCCAGCTGGAACTGTACCCAGGAAAAAAAATGAGCACAAAATTGAAAGATCATTTTCACAAGCAGACAAATATCAGTATTAGAATAATTGGCCCAGGGCCATATTCTTGTCTAGAATCTACTGTGAAACTTTCAAGTTGGCAAAGCATCACAATATTTCACTTTCAGCTCTTCACTGAAAACTGTTAGCTGTTCAGCTAGTTAAATTCTCACTTCTGCTACATTTATTTTCATATGTTGCCAATTTATTTTCCAAATGTATATTAAAGTGGCTCTGAGTGAAGCTAGCCCATGCAATACTTGATTCTGTTTAGGAGATGAAGGCCTAATGTTTAATTTACACATTCTTCATTCACCAAGACTGTATTAAAATTATTTCCTACACATCATTTACTCTCATATTTTAATAAACTGCTCTTTAAAGAATGCCAGTGCTTACAATAAAAATAATGTGTGATATTAAAATCATTAACATTTAATAAATTAAGCCATCTGCTTCATAATCACTAAATATTAAAACTATACTCTATGACTTTATCTTTAGTGTAATAAAACTTCTCAAAGGACCCACATTTGTAATGACTTCAAAGTCAACTGTTCAACCTTTTCAAAGATCAGCTTTGCTACTGTATTCATAAGAGTGACCATCTTTACTGAGTGTAATAAAACCTCATTTTAAGTCAAACCCCACTCATTAGGTCTTCATGATTATGGGCCAGAATGAGGGCAAAGAAGTTGCCTAAACAAGTCAATGACCCTAGGAAGAGAATTCAAGGCTGCGGAAAGAGATCAAATAGCAAGTCACTAGGAGAGACATTTAAGAAGCCTTCTCCCAACAAAGTTGGCCTTGGTATAGGGGTTTGGGAGTCCCAGGGGTGAATGACAGGCTTTAAGAGGTAGTCTAGAACATCCTAGTCTCTAGACATGACAGTATATATACCAATGACCATTGACAAAGCCTGTTCACAAATAATAAGATCAATCTGTGTGACATTATAATTGAGTAGATATAAGAAAGACAAAAAGCCTGGAAATCATGTTGAAGAAATTAGGCTCTTTTGACAGAAGATGTTTGGAGAGGGGTTAGGTAGATCATATAATGGTAATCTTCAAATAATATGAAGATCTATCCTGTGAGAAAGGGAGTGGGCTTGTTCTTAACACCTTCCAAGGTAATATGGGTTCAGTGAGTTAGAGATCTATTCAGGAAGATTTTACCTCAACACTGAGATAAACTTTAAAATGTCTACAGCTAACCACAGAGAAAGTGTAATACCCTGTAGGGTCAATAAGCCTTACTCCCTTAGATGACCAGATAGCAAAGTGGCCATAACAAGTGTGACAGAGGGATTCTTATTGTAGATCTGAAGTGGGGTTGGATGATCTTTAAGGTCTTTTCCAACTCAAAGATTCCAATTCTTATGAAACTAACATGTATAGGAGGTTTTAAGGAAGGAAGTCTGTTTATTGATTTTTAAGAGAAAATACCTGAGAAGACAATTATGCAATTCAATTTGCCCCTCAAGGCAGGTCTGAGTTGACCTGCTGTTGGAAACACTTTCCCAGTCACAGAACTATTGTAATAGATTAAAAACCTATTTCTGTAGGGCTATTTTATGTTCCACTTTTCACTAATTCAGCTTAACAGCCTCCAGAATGTCAAACATCTGCAAATTCTTTCACAAGAGTTAAATGGGAAAATGAATTGGTTTGCTCAATCCAGTTGTGTGAACATCAAAAATAAAATTCTAGAATGGGTAAAGACATTGTAATGTGAAATGTACATTGGAAGATTTGACAAGCAAGTCTATGGGTTATTGATCTTGGCAACGCATTTCAAAAGGCCCAGAACTTTTCAAGGATATGTAGCACAAGATATTTCATGGGAGACTCCTGCATTAAGCACTTGTCTTTAGTTGAGACATATACAAATTTCAACATGACCCTTTCCCAGTTTTATAGGGATCACATGTCTGTCGACCAGATAATTTGAAACAGTTTTATATTTGACTTCATAATTAATGATGGCCTGAGGGCAAAGGAATCAACATCTACAGCTAATCTTACTTCTCTTCTCTTCCTCCTTCATTTTCGTTTCTGAACTCTGGGTTCCAGAACGAGAACAATATATCTGCCTCACCATGCTTTGC